ACAATTCCCTTTCAAAATACAGCATAACATATCGGTCACAATCATAAGTCATGTTAGGATATTTGAACTTTGGAAAAAAACGTTGGATTAACATTAAGCCATGCTTTTCGCCTTATCTTCATGCACCATTATTATTTTTTATCATTGTATATATTTTGAACGTTACAATACGGTTACCAATTTACATACAATTATGGACATAATAAAATTAGTCAACAAAACGAGAATAAAAATGAACTCCCAAAGTCAATTAGAACAAATGTTCATATGAAGATGTCGTCTTAAACTGGACCTAAAATTCGCCCCCTTAAATATTGTATTGCTTTTGTTTAATGACCACCACATTCAAGCTTCGCTAGGCCTGTGGGACCAGACATCTAGGGAGGACATTAAACTGACATCTAATTCTTAGCATTGGTTTGGGGCCTTTGAACTTCAGTGTCGCTTTACATGAATTTTTATCTGAATTCCAATTCCTTCAATTTCAGCATACTACATAATACCAATTACTTCGATTTCTATATAAAAGTATGAAGACCAAGGTTATATCCATGTAAATGTAGACATACTATTGCTCTACACGTCATTTCACCTGACTCGTACGATTTTAATAACATGCCACTCTTTCCAAGGTCCAACTTTTTACACACGCTATTGTTGGGAAGAATTACCACTGTAATTTTTTCTACAACAACCCATCCAATATTAGAGAGTTATTACAAGACGATGTATTGACAAGTGTCATTTTGATCCTAATAACACGCGCTACGTGTTATTTCAAGTTAGATGGCATTGAAAATATTGTACCGCATTGTAAAACAAAATGATTAAACAAAACTTTACTCTGTATTTAGAATAAATTGATACATATTTGATTTTTTTAAATATCAGTTTTCAATACTGACTAATTATGGAATTAATTACTGTACAATTATGATACCAGCATGTTTGATTGTTTGATTACCATAAATGTGTAACTAATAATATCAGTATGGCATTATATGGAAGCAATGTGCTTCAGAAATTAAACAAAAATCACAAATTCTTTTATAAAATCTTATAATGGTCTGACTACAATCATTATCAGGTAATTTCTATGTAATAGAATATTTATCAGACTGCCTTAGAAAATGGAGTGATTCTCAAAATATGAATATTTTTTGAAAATCAGAAAATATCAGAAAAAATCGAAAACAGTTACTCATGTTTTAAGTTCACACAAAGTACTGCATCGCAGTGGTCCACATCACTATTTCAAGAGGGGCGCAAATAGTTTGCATGGGAACTGCACATTTGACTTTGCTATAATTTTGCTTTTACTGTATCACATTTGTGAGATTGGTACATATTTTTATATCATATGATTTATGATGACATCTGACACAGTTGCACCATGAATACACTTCCTCATCCATCTGACTGCAACCAGTATATAATGTAATTTTTGGTTATTGTGCCAGCAGTAATACACAAGCTTCTTTATTTGGTTGTAGACCAATTTGATCTACAATTATCAGAATTTTGGAAAAGTATCAAATAACCTTCTGTTTAAGTTTATTTCAAGATTCTTCTGGTAATATTTAACCTCTGTGTAGCATTAATGACAATTTTGAGGTGGTTCAGATTCAAGTACCCAATGAAAAATTATTCCAATAAGTATACATTTGATAAAATTCTTCTATGAGTTTGTAATCAAGTAAATTTAATTTCCATATACAATACAACAGTAAAAAAAAATGTATATGTATTGAAATTATGATTTACCAGGTATTCATTATAAATATATTTTGCTTGCCAAAATATGCAAGACAAAATAGTGACATTAAAAATAATCAGCTGTAAAGTAATTCAGAGGCATCTCATTACTGCATCTTTTGAATTGTAAAAGGCATTCACCTGATCCTTGAAAACGCTGCAGCACTGCAAATCGAGGAATGTTCAATGTAAACATGTTTTTCTAGAGCTCTACTTGATGCAAAGAACAAGAATGCAACATATGACCTTTTTTGTTAGGACTTGCCAAGAAAGTAAATTCCAGAAACAGCATTTTTGATATCAACAGTATACATGTAGGCTGGAATATGCAATCAGTTCAAGAATAGATTAATATAAGTTGTTGTTCTAATATTGAGGGAAGGAAGACTGCTCTTGACATTATCTCTTGAGAAACATAACCTATCTCAACATTAAATGTCAGACGTAAATTATGGACAAAACATCCAAATAAAACCTTAAACTACAGGTAAATAAATATACAGTAGCATTGCTAACATATTCGGAAATCATAATCAGGTCATTAACTTGAACCAAAAACCTGCATTCAAAATAAACAATAAAGAGAAAATTAATAATAGCTTGACTCACCTGCGAAGATCTGGGATTACCGGTATTTAAAAGAAATGTTGACTTCTTCTGAACGGGTTTCTTGTATTTTGAAATTTGAGGCTTATCAATCTAACGCGCACTATGCACTTCCCGATTCCCAAATTAAGAAGATACCTTTTACACAGACATTTCTAAACCATAAAAAAACCTGCCTTATTTTTGGACAGGACAGAAGGATCAGTCACAGGACAACAGACAACAGCACTCCGCCAATGAAGGCCACATCTGATTGGGTGGGAGAGTGGCGTGATATTTTACGTCACGTGCGAGGGGAACAATCAATATTTATTTGGAAGTTTGTTAGTTTTTCTACGTGGCTTAACAGTCGCGAAAACTCAGTAAAACCCCATTTATAAAATTATAATTGCTTAATTCCATTGAAATCCTGTTAATGATATGGAATTAATAATTGACCGTGAAATTAAAACAAATAATTAGATAAGATCCTGTGTGGTATGTAGCAGGTGGCAGCACAATACGGGAAAATTATTTCAAACGCAGAAGTCTTCTTTTGTGCGATCTGCCTGGCTTCTCATCTGCCATCTGCGCAACGGTTCTGTGAAGAATCGATAGAGATGGAGTTATATATTCGATAGTCGATAGTGTATACAGGATGATTCAAAAAAGAACTGAGATTCTTATAAACTGAAGTGTAGCTTTTTCTCTTTTTTTTTTTAATTTTTACTTTCGATGTAATGAACCAAATCTCTTTTTGGATAGTGTATTCTTTTGAACATCTGCTAGAGACTATCTGGTTAAGTGTAAGAGTAGCAGCATGCTAAACTTCGCCATGTAAGTCTGACATTTGGCTATACTACAATGTAATTGTGGATAAATAAAGACGTCTATTATTATTATTATATAATGTATATTATATCATTTCCTCTAGCTAGTATGGTTTTCACCTTATATTTATTCTTGCTGATGATTGTCAGAATTAATCAAATATCATGAGAATAGCAGGTACATACATGGTCTTCATTAAGGTGTCTAATGACATGGTCAGCACAAGTGTTTTATCACGTAGAATACAAACAAATACAACTCTATTCATGGATTTTTAGAATTTTATTGGAAATGGTGTGACTCAAAAAGTAGACCCATGGAATCTTCAAATGTTTCGTTATACAGGGTGTTCCATAATTATTGCGACAAAATGATAGGGGTTGTAGAGGGCATAAAAATATGCAATTTTGCCTTATAAACCCCTGTTCGTAAATATGCCGTTTGAGCACTACAGTTAATTTTACCTTAAGAGCTCATAGGAGAAACAAAAAATTCACCAGCTGCAAAATGTTCGTCTAGCACATTTCATGGTCTCACCGATTTGTAAAAAAAGCCTGCTGTGTTTACATTTTTGTTATCGTACACCCGTACCACCTTTTAAAAGTCCAAGCCATGGGTCCAGCAGACTATCTGCCGCGTCGACGTTTTTGCCGTTGGTGGCTGCAGCAGGAGTTGATGCAACCAAACTTTGGTCGCTACGTTTTGTTCACTGACGAGTCCTGTTTTACAAAGGACGGTTATTTTAGTAGCCATAACAGTCACATTTGGGATGAAGAAAACCCTCATGCCATAGCCATCCATAGAGACCAACATCAGTTTTCAATTAACATCTGGTGCGGCATTGTGGACGAGCATATCATCGGGCCATATCTGCTTCCACCACGTTTGGATGGGCATGCTTATGGTCGATCCTTACAGCATGTGCTACCGGAACTATTACAAAATGTGCCACTGAATATAAGAGCCAACATGTGGTTTCAACACCATGGCGGTCCAGCCCACTTTTCTTTACAAGTGCGGCAGTATTTGGACGACAAATTTCCAAATAGGTGGATAGGCCGAGGTGGCCCTGTGCCTTGGCCTGCGCGGTCACTTGACCTGACCCCACTGGATTATTTTATCTGGAGCTATCTGAAAGCTTTAGTGTACGAAACTCCTGTTCCCAACCAACAAGAGCTACTGGGAAGAGTGATGGCCGCGTCCGCACATGTTCAGGACATACCGGGGGTATGCCACAGAGTTCGCCGATCATTGAACAATCGTGCACAGCTGTGTATTGAGCAAGGTGGAGGACACTTTGAGCAATTACTGTAGGTAAGCTGTTTCAAGAAACTGATCTTTTTTTTTTTTGCTGCAGCCCAAACGGCATATTTCCGAACAGGAGTTTATAAGGAAAAATTGTTCATTTTGATGCCCTCTACAACCCCTATCATTTTGTCGCAATAATTATGGAACACCCTGTATAGCTGCATACTAAACTCGTAGTTTGTTAGTTCCCTCAGAATTGTAGAGAATATTCCTCAACTTTTTGAAACTCAATTCCTGAAGGTGAGTTATAATTATAATTCCTATATATAATTTTTATAAATATAAATTAAAAGTTAATACTTCAATTGCAAATAGAAGGTCACCTCACGTCAACGTTTGTTTCATCAAAAGTTTATGGTTTTAGAGATTTTCAGCATTTAATGTTTTTGTAAAAAAACTGACTTGCATTCAATTAATCCGCTGCCATTTCTACAAATAACATTATTTTTGGATCTGCTTCAAAACATTCATAATTAAACATCTCATCCGAACCAGTATCATTTTTTTTCTTAAGAGAAACCCACATATAAATCATAGCATGATCTACAAATTAAAACGCGTTTTTACGTCATTTAGCGTGAAAAAATTAAGTATGATCACGTGCTGTACTAGACAAAAACGTTGGTAATTTTCATAATCGATTGTCAGTTGACACAAACATCAAAATATGGCTTGGAGGCAAAGAAGGATTGATGTAGGTGGTTAAAAATAAGCGTCCGGAAGAATCAGTTAAAAACAATATTTTGTTAGTAACAATTTCAAGCGCACGAAGTCGCAGGTAATAGCTAGTAATATGAATATATGATCTACATCAACATAACAAGTAATCTGAATGGGAGAAGGTAGTCAAATATCGATATTTCAAATTCTGTATTCGATTTCTTACCCATCTCTATTGTATGTCACATGTCAGAAAAAAATCGTCAATATGTCCATCTAAGGACGTGTTTGAAATGTAAACATCTTTTAATGATGAATTGAAGGGTTTTTCAAAACTGAGAACGTTTTAATGGAAAAGTAGGAATCGTATTGTTTGGAACAATTTATTAACATATTATTATTCGCAAAATGGATGAAAATACCACCAACGTGAAACTAGATTGGATGTACAAGGTAAAGACCCATAGTGTAAAAACAAAAACAGTAAACTTGACCATGTATTTTTCTTTTAGGGCATTAATGGCCTGGTGAATAGAGAGGATTACCTGTTGGGCAGATCTGTTGATAAGACCCTAGACCAGCTAAACAATGAAGAGAGAGAAAAGAAACTAGGAATTGTTCCACCAAAAAACCATGTTGAGCATGAATGTATACCACCATCAATCAGAGATTACAATAAAATTGTGGAAGCTGAACAGGTAATTCATTAACCAATCTATCTATTTTTGTAGTAGCAAAATTTGTGTCTTTCTGTCTCCATTTCACTTTTCAAATATGTCACCACAATATCAATATGCATAATCTACTCATACAAGGACAGGAGTACCTAGGTGATTGGTGAAATTAAGGGGCCTTTATGGCCTCTTTGGTTTTGATAGCCTTTTCTCTCCTTCAGAAAGGCTAGATTTCTACTGGTCAGTGTCAGCGCTTTCGTATTGTGACTAGGCCTTCTTTTTGAATTAGGAAATTCCAGGCTGATATAACAGATGATATAAATCAAAAGCATGAACAATATGATGCAAATAGATATTTGTAACATAACCTCAAATTAGAGTGCTGACATGGAAAAGTATAAAACTATGAAAATCAAGGAGGCCCTAAAGGCATCCTAAAATAATTGTAGGAACGACTGACAATATGGCCCTTAGTTGCTACACAAAAAAAATGTAAAAATAAATATGTAGTGGATTTAATTGGCTGCATTCAGATTTTTACTAAGAAGTGCAAGTAGTTAATCACAATGCAGCTCTGAGATCATGAAGAACTATTGAACTATTGAAGCCCAGCAGTGCTGTTCTACTTAACTGAGGGCCTGAATCATTACAGTATATTATATGGATCATTACAAACTTGAATGAAGTTAATATAATTGAAAAAAGAGTAAGATTGGAACCATTTATTACAACATAATTTTTCACAATTCACAGTGTTTGCCTATACTGTCATGCATATAAATATTCCATACACTTTTTCTTAAACCTAATACCAACATTAGTTTTCACTGAAATGGAAATCCGGTTGTACAATTTAGCACAATATTGTAACTGAAAACGTGCTCAAAGAGTGGAGCCTTATGAATGGAAATACTTAGTAACTCTTCATTTCGTACATAGATGGTGTGTTCCATATGCTTAAATTTTATTTTTTCATACAAATATTTCTGTACCTTGATCTCATTTTTATTTAGTTTCTCTAGTTTTATTTATAAGACACATCAGAAGTAAAAATTGCCTATTTTTAAGATTCAACCACTCCATACTATTAATCAGGGGAGAACAGTGAGCTCTTCTACTTACACCACAGATAAATGTTATACAATCATTTTGGATAGATTGTAACTTCCTTACTAACACCTGGTCCAAACATGGACCATATCCATAGTTTGTGAAACTTAATACTAAAGTATCACAGAGCTGTTTACATAGATCTTTATGTGGGAAGTTCCTACTGCAATATGAGTTTCTTTTTGTTCAACATCAAGCCATGCCCTGAAGAATTGTTAGTTAGATTATTAAAAACTCTTTTGTTTCCATTAACAGGTTGATCTGTCAGCCAAACTTCAAGAAGACCCACTTATGGCCATAAAGAAAAGAGAAGAAGAAGCTAGAAGAAGGTTTCTTCAAAACCCAGTTCAACTGAAAAAGTTGCAAGAAGCTTTAAAGGCACAGGAGCATAAAAAGAAGAAAAAGCATAGACATTCAGATTCTGCTGATTCTGATGATGATCTTGATAAGAAACTTGTAGAAAAATTGATGTATCTAAAGTCTGATCCATCTGCAGCAATTACTTTGAGGAAAGAAAAAAAGAAAGCGAAGAAGGATGCATTAGATACAATATTAATGCATAAATTCAATGAACTCAAGGATAGGCTGAGTCAAAAAGATTTGGATGATATATTGGCAGGACATGTGAGTGATAGCAGTGAAGAAGGAAAAAAAAAGAAACGAAAAGAGGAATCCAAAAAAACAGATGGAAGTAGTGATTTTGAAACAAAAAGTAACAGAAAAAAGAAAACTTGGAAATCCTATAATAGTGAAAGTGAAGATGATAGAAAAACAGAAAGAATTAATAAGAAAAGCACTTCAATGGATTATAAGGGTAAGAATGCATATAGAAAAGAAGAAAGCAGCTCAAGTGAAGACAGTGATGGGGATAGTAGGGGAAAAGAAAGGTCAAAAGCATCAAAGAGAAAAGACAGAGAAGGAAAAGGTAAAAGAGCTAGGAGCATTTCAAAAGAAAGGCATACAGTAAAGAAAACTGTTCAAAAAAAGAGGAGGAGGGATAGCAGCAGCAGTAGTGAGGATGATAGTAAAGATAAAAGAAAATACAATGAAAGAAAAATGAAAAAGCATAAAAGTGAAAGTGATGACAATTGTGAAGACAATAGAAGTGGGAGGGGTAGAAGCAGTAGTAATAAAAGAAAGGAAGGATTGTATAAGGAAAGGCATGGCAGAAGTATAAACAAAAAATCTAAGGGAAGCAGTAGTAGTGAATCAAGTTCAGAAAGCCATAAAGTCAAGAGAAAAGGAAGAGGTATAGATAGAGAAAAAAGAGCTAGGAAGAGCAGTAGTGAACCAAGTTCAGAAAGACAAGTCAAGAAAGAGGAAAGAGGTAGATATAGAGAAAAAAAGAGATCTAGTAGAAACAGCAGTAGTCAAAGCAGTAGCAGTGAAGACAGAAAGCATAGGTCTAAGAGTGTCAATAAAAAAGAAACTACAAATAAGAAAGTTGGAAGAAATAGTCATTATAAAACTAAAGACCAGGATGAAAGTGAATTAGACAGAATGATAATGGATAAATTGAGACAACTAAGGGGCTCAAATAATGAAGATAAATCATCCAGTCACAATGAAGAATCTGCAAGAATTTATACTCACTATGATAGTGACAATGATGAACATGTTAAAAAGAAAAAGTATTTTGGTTTGGTCAGGGCAGATGGTACCAAGATAGAGTTGAAGAGAAATACTGCTACAATGAGCATGGCAAAATATGAAGGTCCCAAAGCTAGAGAGGAGGGCAAGAAATCTGAAAAGAAAAATGTGAAGAAACTGACAGAGGAGGAAAAGGAGGAACTGAGAAGACAGATGATGAAAGATGCGGTGAAGAGAGAGAAGGAAAGAAGTGATAATTTGAGAAAATACAGAGAGGAAGATAAAAAAGAAGAGATGGCAATGAGTTATAACAGGGACTTCATTCATAAAGAGTTGGTAAAATCCACAAAAGATACTAGCATAGAAGGGAGGATCAAGTCAAAGCTGAACACTATTCAGAGGTCATCAGCACACATGAGTACTAATTTTTCAAAGAAAAATTAGTTGTTATGAGTACAAAAAGATTTGTATATAAATTTTGAATAAAGTTTTATTTCATAGCATGATGTGTTTCCATAACTACCGAGTAACCTGTCATAGACGATCCGTCCTATACGGATTCGTAAGTATAGTTGATTCAACAGATTTTGATGGAACAATCCAAATCTTTTAAAGCACAATTTTAACCTCCATCCACTAAATATAAGGCAGCGTTCAGACAGATGCAGAATAGCCCAGGCGTTCTATTCTGGTTCTCATCGGAACTTGCCGATTACCGCCAACAGTCGCTAAGCGTAACTAAAGGTTCCATATTCCCTAGTTTAGATGCGATGAGCTTGCGGAAAGTGCTGCAATATGACTGAAAGATTTAATTTGCCATATCGACAGCTTGGATTAGAATTGAATTAGCGTCACTTCAGTACAAAATTGTAGCAGATTTTTTATCCTATAAGTAAATATACGTTTGAAAATAGACAAACTATTCCCATCATTTTTTTTAAACAGTGTGTGCCCTGAATTGCAGTAGGCGGTCTTTCCTTATACAAGTTTTGTACTCACGGCTTGACAGAAAGTAGGATTTATCCTTCGAAGCTTAAGCTTGGCAACACTGCGATGACTCGCTTGTCAGTAAGTACCAGAATATAGATGGTGGTGACGTTTGAAGTTAATTTTATAATTAGAGAACGTAAACAAAGCAAAGAATGAAAAATGCAACAGGAATTTTAATTCCTTTTACCAACATATTTCACTAAATAGCCATGTAGCAGTACTTAAAATGAGACTTACTAGGTGATGTAACTATGCACTCATATATACATATACTTGAACACTTCCATTTTTCAGATGTTCACTAAAACCTAGGTCCTATTCATTATATTTTTGGATTTCGATTACAATAATAATACTCTACATGGAATACTTCTCATACATCCTGAACACATTCAATTGGCATTCAGTTAAATGTACAGACAGACCTAAATGTGCAAGGATCTTACTTGTAGCTGACCCCCAAATAATTGGAAACAAGAATGAAGCTCCGCATTTTCTTACCCCCTTCACCATTTTTGATAGTGACAGGTAGTTACTAACAGTACTAACACTACTACTCTTCTACTACCACTAATACAGCTTGTGAAAAAAATCATTTTATGGCTAGCAGAACCAAATGTATAGCTGTTCCTTGAGATTTCTTTTTATGAATATGCTGTATTCATCTTGTCATTTTGAAGTGATAGATGAGTTCCAGGTATTACCAAACATGTGTTCTGTTCCAATCTGAGGGGCCATTGTCACTAAAAACAACTGGTGGTCACAACCAAACAGCAACAAACTTTTCACATGTATTCAAAGACAACCATTCTCTCCAAACCCCTGACTGTATCCTTAGAAATCATTAATATCTTTAAAATAATTCACTTGGAGCAGCAGTGTTGAAATCCTTCCAGGAGAGTTACAGTTGATACAAAAAAATGTGACAATCAAGTTAAAAGTGTTCATCAGACTTGAGGAATATGTTTGCTTGCAAGCTGTAACTTTTCCCAGAGCATTTATTGCAGATTATGTGTGTTCCTTGTTGGGAAATAAAAAAATGCTACATATGTTGATTGATAGACTTTATTTGTGAATTATATAACTAATATGAGTTTCTTTCAGTTAAGGTTTATAACAAATATTTATTTCTATTCCACATTCTTAATACAGTTTGTGACTCTTTAAACAATTTTGAAACATGCTTGTCATTTGCTTAGCAGTTGTTTTTGGTAAAAATGGAAAAGTAATGCTACTGAAGTCAATATTGGGTTGAATGATTGAAGTCAAATTGCTGTTGGTGTGCTTTTGGTGAGAACAGTTTCTGAGGCCTCAAAAAATTGCTGGTTGCTAGTTGTTAATTTGATCTTCAATGGGGAATGTGTCTCTAGACACTAGGTATAATCAATATGAGTAGGTGACATTATTTCAAATGAAGGATCAGCTATGCATTCTTGTACTTATTGTGTAATGACTATTATTCCCTTTCAGATACTTACATGTGACCTACCAGTTAGCTTTTGAGTTTGTTAGGCCTGACATTGTAATATTTCTTGGTGATTTAATGGATGAAGGCCATACTGCATCAGACATAGAATTTAATAATTATGTTCGCAGGCTTTTCAATATATTTTTAATTCATACAGATGCAGCTATGTATGTAAAAGTAAGTAAGTTAAAATACTTTTTTCTATTTTATTAATAAAAGTTAAAAATAAGCAACAAAGTTTAGTAAGGTTTGGTTATTGTCCATATTTTAAAAACATTTTCAGGTATAAATATTTCTTTCTGCTTAGACTTAGATTATTTTAATTGCAATTCTTGTGATGAGTTTCCCTACATCAAAGCCTACTATTTGTTGCTTGCAATGTTGTATCCAGTGCATTGGGACATCTAAGCTAAAACTAGAATCAGCCTGCAGTTACATTAAAGTGCTGACATACTGAGAGTGGAGCTCCTTATAAACATCATATTCCACTACACTTTTAAAACTGCCAAAGAAGAAACTGCATGAGTTGTGTTTTTGCCTCGGCAAAATAGCTATAAAATCGTCTTCATCATTGACTGTCAGAGTGGTCTGTAAGACCTTTTCTGTCAGTTCAGGTATTGTAGGTCAGTAAATCTGTCAGGTCTGGTTGTCCAGATACCAGACAGTCAGGTGGAAAAAAGGGAAGTAGAATGGAAAAATAGAGGAGAGCAAAGATAAGATAGTTCATCCGTTAGAGGGATGCCTTGGAATTGACAATAAGTGTTCGGAAATTTTAAATTGATCCAAAAGTTAATTTAGATATCGGTCGTGAAAAAATTGATCCAAAAGTTAATTTAGATATTGGTGGTCGTGAAAAAATTATAATTTTGTTGGAGTTGTTGAAATTGTACGTTATAATTTTGTTCACAGTGCGAGCTGCGATCTTATGTCGTTTCGAACTTGCTCTACTGGTTAGTTTACTGATTTATCGGACAAAGGGTTGCTGTGACTATAACGTCGCTGCTTAGTCATGTGGTCAAGGGATGTCGAGGTCTTTAGTCATAGTATGCAAGGTTCTATTCTACAGAACCTTCTGATTTCGCATGTGCGTTTTAGCAAGAAAATACCAAGCCGCCCGTACATGAGTGATTCCTTGTCTAATAAGCATTTCGTTATTTTGTATAGCCGAGCTTTGTTGATCAAACTTAATTTTGAGGTTACATAACATAGGGTAGAGTTGCCGGAACGTAATTTGGATCTTGTTTTTCAACATTTCAATGTGCTTCTGTCAGGCCATCGACTTTTTTAAGAGTTTACTGAAATATCAGACGGGCGGGGTCTAATACGAAACAATGGTCAAAGCCAAACATCTCCTGGGCACCGACCATCCTATGTTCACAAATAATAGGCAATTAGATCTCTGTATACAAATATACGGCTCATAAAATTGTTACGGCAGATGTGGACATGATTCCCAAGTGCTCTTCACTCCACCAGTGAACAAAAGCGAGGGGATGTTTCCCGTGAGCGATAAGAACAAAAGTTTCCATAGTAGTTTTATTCAGGTAAAAGTAAAATTAATTTGGTATCGGATCGCTGTTCTGCCGCGTTTTGGCAAATAATTTCTACGCGAAGCTACACTCTTACTATGTCATCTAGAATGCGACTACGAAGCGATTCTATTGTACCTATGGGCACATCAGGTACATGCCCAGGGCCCCAGCTTAGTGAAGCTCCATATGCTCAATTATCAAACGAAATTTCAAAAAAATATCTGCGAGCATTTCGCTTTGGTTTGGTACCCCTTAATCCGCAGGCCCCGGCGCCTTAAATAGCTCGAATATTACTTTCACTGGTTCCAGTCTCTCTAACAATATTACCAACCTTCATATTATTTTGTTTCATTCCATTTTGAAGTCTTATATCTCTGAAAAGCACTCTCTGTGTTCATTTTGCAGCATGTCTGGTTACCAGGAGATAATGATATAGGAGGGGAAGATACTGTAGTAACACAACAAAAAGTGAGGAGATTTGAAAGAGCATTCACCCAGCCTAGCATATTCAGTCATCATAATATTACTTTTTTTAAAATCAATAGACTAACAAATAACATTCCAGTTTATAAGAAGAATAGAGAATTTTATGATACAAGCGAAATATTTGTTGGTCTTAGCCATGTGCCTATGATGTTTAAGCCATCCATTTTTGTAGATAAGGTAAGTATTGAGTTGGATATTTAAGAACATTTTGTTCAATATTGTATCAACACTTAAATAGGTGGTAATAACATCTGCTAAACTGTGGTCCACGCGTAAGCATAAAGTAAATACCTATGCTTTAAATAGATTTAACGGAGATTTCAACATGCTTCGGCTTCCTATGATAAGAAATATCAGTGTATTTTCATTCTGTACCTTTGAAACAATACAACTTTTCTGGATATTTTTAGACCTCTCCAGTTGGTGATTTTTAAAAACAGTATGTAATATGTTATTTGGTTGGTTTTTGGGTAGTTAGACCATCGTAAAATATTTTTACCTGACGCTTCGCCAACATGATTGGTTGGCATCCTCAGAAGATGTTCACAGTTCGGAGTCCTGTGAGCTACTGCCATCTCCGCGGCCTTAGCGCGTATTTATATGTGGCGGCTCGAGTGGTGGGGAGAGCTCTTCGGGAATCCTCGGCTGGCGTCGCGCTCGGGCTGACTCGGGAGTCTATCGCATACCTTTTACTTGTGGAAGTGTGTACATCGGATTAACAAAACGATCAGTGAATACCAGAATTAAAGAACACAAAGCGAACTGCCGTCTGGATCAAAAAGAAATATCTGCTGTAGCCGAACATACACTCACCGAAACGGACCACCATATTAAATTTGAAGAAGCCCAGGTCATTGTTAACACATCAGCATACCATGCTAGATTATATACGTACAGGGAGGCTATAGGGATACACAAACACACGGACAATTTTAACAACACATAGGAATCACTGAAAGTACACAAAACCTGGCTACCAGTATTAAAAAACACAAAAATTGCGTCATCCAAATGGAAAAACAACAGCCGAGTCATCCCGAGCGCGACGCCAAGCGAGGATTCCCGAAGAGCTCTACCTACCACTCGAGCCGCCACATATAAATATGCGCTAAGACCGCGGCAGTGCCGGAGTTACTCTTCCCCCACTCCTCAAGGTGTGAGGTTGCCTGAAACGAGGGTGGTGGAGGGACCGCGCAGGGTAGGAATGAAGGATTCTCATTTGGGTTGATATGGATAACCTGCATATTTTCGCATAACAGACCAAACCGCTGAACGTTAATGATCCGGTTAGTGGAATGGCTGGAGTATCCTCTGACTCTAGGCTGCAATACTCTGAGTATGCGCCTTCGGTTCGAACCAAAATATATAACCTCATTCTATACTTATACTCTAGGGGACTTGAATGGTCATAAAGACCACCTTTTGCCCTAATTACTCCGAAAAAGTTTTCTATCTCATCTTGATTAAGACGTCTTGTTAACAGGTATTGGACACTAAAGCGTCATTTTAGATCCTCTACGAGCATTTTTAGAGCGAAATTAGAAAGTAGAATGATAGAGACTTGGGTAAATTTTCCGTAGGAATGGCATCCTTTTTTAGAGCACGATATGTTTCAGGGGTGTAACCCAAAAGGGTACGTTTCAAATTGACCTTATAGGCACTTTCACAAAAGTGCTTCGAGCTAACCCTAGCGCTTTTTACATTGACTTTGTCTTTTCTTTATGTAAGATGTAGCCATTTTTTGCTAAGATTTGGGTCGTGAGGAAAACTATGGAACTTTATGTCTTTGCAAGGATTCCGCTTAGACTGGTTTGTCGGAATTACATCCCACACCAGCACACCGAATTTTTATCAATTTATCAAACACACAGGGTATATAAAGTATGTATAACTAATCCAACAAGTTACAAAACCACCAAAACTCACCAACAAATCGTACTATATAGTATTAAACACGTGCAGACTGCACTAACGTTACGATAATCCTGGCGCTGGTAACCACGAGCCAGTCAACTCTCAAGATGACGTCACGAAGCTCCGCCCACATGCGCAACATCCTGTCTTTAGTGTATATGTATCATGAGACCGCGGAGATGTCAGTAGCTCACAGGACTCCGAACTGTAAACATCTTCTGAAGACCACCGAAACGTCAAGTAAAAATATTTTACGACGGCCCAACTATCCAAAAATCCACCAAATAACATTGGATGATCGCCGCGCAAGCCTTTCGCATTTCAGTGTGTAATATGTTTAGTGCTTGAGGAAATCATTTCTGTCATTTTTCAGTATTATTGAAGCGACGTGAATCACAAAGTTTACCAAGACTTATTTTATCGTTTTTAAGCGGCAAAGTAACGTTTCTTTTCTTATATTTTATGACCCATTAGAAAATAAACATTTATGTATACATCTCCATTCTATGTGAAATGACTATCAAAGCTTTAAAAACGAGTTTGAAACAGTCATACAGAAAATTTGTCACACATACCGATATTTAATCGCAAAGATGAAAAATGGTTCAGTGTTTCTTGTGCAATAGCTGGAATTAATGTTTTGAATGTACAACCCGACATTTGGAACCCTAACGAATACTTTATCGCCATTAAAATTAAAATTAAAGTTCAGTACCCTTCAGTTCCAAAGCATCACAATCCACAATTTTCTACTATTAAATTTGGTACCGTTCTGGGAAAGGATGTCCCTATTCACAGATCTCACGGTGTTGTTAGTGATTACTTCATTATTCCCTAGATTTCCAGGATAGCAAGTGATACCAGGATATGCCTGATATAGTAGTGGTAAACAAAACTGGGCTCCAAGAGATGTTAAGGAAATATCGCACAGTTTCGTACAGCCATTCCATATGGCATATGGCTCAGGCTTGTTCGCGAAATACACTTTTTTATAGTTCGTTCTTTTCGACAGCGCGAACCCCTCATATCATCTCGTTATAAATATCCTCATATCTAGATCTATTTTCTTTTCTACACTAAAAAAAAAATTGAATTTGGTAGGTAATAAGCAAAATGCTGCCCCAGCTACTGTTCAGCGCCCACGAACATAAATCGATGATAATCAGCACTGACGCCTTGTTGCGTCATGACTTTCACATCGTACCTGTCACGCCCGACAATAATCAACCCTACGAGTATACGCTTGGCGCCAGAGAAATGTTCGAGATCCTCATCCCCACTTGCTCCTACAGGATGGGTACCGACAAGATCGGTTATGGCTTAGCTGTCATTGGTAAGTAGATAAACAATTTACAGTACGTAAAGAAGGTGGGCGTGGTTCTCTTACCTGTCGGGGAACTGTATTCCTGAACAATGAAAGAAGAGTTGCTCCCCGGGTCGTTCTCAGGAGAACAAGTACGGACGTCTCGTCGTCGTCCATCAATCTCATCTTCAAAGACGAAATTAACTTTGTTTAATGATATGAAGAAGCTAGGACCAAACTTGTTTCATAAACGTCAACAGCTGTCAGAATTTAAGAGCATTCTTCTTTGCTTAGGAATTGTCCTCGTGCTCTATTGTGGCTCAGAGCTATTTAGTTTTCTCATAACAGATCCGCCTTTCTCAGAAAGCGATTAGCCTGCTAGGTGGGGTGCCTAGCACATTATCTAATTGAAACATTGTGTCTCTAAATAGAATGTATCTGACTGCCCATTCCAGAGCATTAATACAGATTGTACTTTGCCATTGTGTCTTCCTACTACATAATCTGTATTCGGTATCTTTGAGCGAATAATCTGCAATGACCTGTGTAGCACGGATAATAATACGAGCGTTCGACGTGTTGGGTAACAATTCCTGTGCAGCTTTAGCTGTCTTCTTTTATTAGATTCCGCCCTAACATTACATCGACAACAGCGTGAATCTAGCTTCCCTAAAAGATCATAAAATACGTCCTATTCTCTCACTTTTAGCGTTCGCAGAATGCCTTAGTTGTATCGTGTAACTGTTCCTTTTTTTTACAGAGGGCGATAACCTGAAGTTTACAGTATTATGGAGTCCGTCCCGTTTCAACCAACTAACCAATTACTTAATTTTATTATGTGTTATTGTTATATATATTGTTACGTTTCGTTGTTACAAAATGTTATGTAGAAGAAGTAGAAAGATACAGAGACATTCCGATTATTTTTAGACTATCACTGCGTCAATATATATATATATATATATATATATATATATATATATATTGGAGTTTTGACAAGACATAGGACATAAGTAAACCAAGAACATACAAAAAATATAACTGATATTTAATATACAGCTAAAGAAAGAGTCAAAAATCGATCCGCATGAAAAATCCTTGATACTTGAATACAGATTTTCGTGATATACGAGTATTATTCACGATATGGGTAAAAAAATCGGTCATTTTCCACCACTAGATCTACCACTGTCAGGAAAATATGCCTCCTGGCTTTCAGGTTGCAACATATAGAAATCAGGAAAAAGGCAATCATCTCGATAAACATGAGCGTGTTTATTTGGTAGGTATGTAAAACCTGAATCTCATTGTTCTTGATTACTCGAATATTCATTTTTGCATTAGACCATCTCATCAATAATACTTATGTTTTGGTCGACCCAACTTACGTGTTCTAAAAGGACGCATTTATGTGCTTTCATTGTTAAAATAACTATGATATGAAAACCTGGATGCAGCAACCTGGGTGACAACACTTGCTTACCACTTTCTTATGGTATACTTGTAATATCTATATTATGTTACGTTAGTAAATAATTTCATAAATCGAATATTTTTATAACCTTGCTTAAAGTCCATTGTGACGTTGTGAAAATTATGAATAAAAATAACTTGACATTATGTTATGAATACTTATAGTTACTCTTGTTGCCAAACAAAGCTTTCTCGATATTCTAAATGGTGATAAATGAAACATATTTACACGTATTTTTAACATATTGTATAATTGTTATAGTTCCTGATCTTAAAAATTTTGGAAACCTGTAACATTCTATATTATGCTTATTGTACGCATTTTTTACAGTGCGCTCAGTATGTCTCAGAAACAATGCATTCGAAACACAGGGTAACGTGAAATGTAATAATTCACACAAATGCAGATGGAACTTATCCAAGTTACCATATTTTATATAATACTCAGGCGAAGTGAAAAACCAACTCAATTTAAGTGAAATAGTAGCGGCATAATTATATATTATATTTATACTAACAAGCAATAAAGTTAATGCGCATGTATTACTTAAGCTTAAGTGAGCACTATATACTGTAGCAATATAAGCTTATTTTAAAGCTATAAAGGCGATATGTACTGGCTTTTGATATGAGAACCTCTGAATATACACTTATTCTGTTTTTGTGTTTCATTTTTTTCCCCGACCTACCAGGCTCGCTTTTTGGCCGAAAACGTACGACTGATTGCTTGGAATCTATCACGTAAAGAAAATGATGTTCAATGACCGAACACAAATAACAGTTGTGCTATTTAAAACTTATTTAATTCTCACCAAAACAAACATCAGCATTCGATAGCCTCCTTTATTTGAGCTGCGTTCGTAAATTGTTAGAGTGTACTTTGTGTACTCTGTAACAATTTTAGTGGTCTGAAACTTCAAATGTGTGATTTTCTTCCCGAGTTCAAAACCTTGGGAATAAGAGATCTGTCACTTGTCATTCTCATGGTTCATTGTCTGATTATTTTATTTGGTTATCAAAAACCGCTCGAAATTGGCAGAATATATAGTTTTTATGTAAAATTTTACCTCATATCCCTAGAGTCTCTTCTAATAATTACAATGGTCGCAGAAAACGTGTCTAGAAACTAGTCGGCTGTCATCAAGTGTCATTACATGACTGTAGGCGTTCTAAAAATAAAGTTTCACAGTATGCCAGAGTAAAATTCAATCTGTTAATCTACATTCCATTACTATGTACGGTATTACATTACCAAGTGATTTACAAAGCACTCTTGTCTCTCTGCCAGTCCAGGCTTTTATGGCCCGTTAGCGTATACGAGCGCGCGGATTTGAACGCGCTGGTGTTTATTTTAGTGGGGGGTAAATAAGGTTTGAATAGACGCCAAAAACTGGTGGGACCGGTGTACATGGATTCTTATTAATTTTGCAACTAAATGTGATATATAAAAAGATAATTTGTTATGGTAATCAATATTTTTACTGCATTATAATAATACTCGTAGTTGCAAAATTATTATTAATCAATATTTTTAGTATCGCCCGGTTACTATTCGTACTATTTGTTTTTTTACCTGAGCGGTTCGTAGGACCTTTTGCTTATTGGTCACTGTCAAATTTACGTTGGTCGAATCTGTTAGTCATAGTGTCATAGTTGCCCATAAAGACCTGCTTTGCCGTGCTTAAAGACAGCAATATTAGCATGTGCTCGTATTGGTATTAGTGGTGTAACAAATATTCTTGATATTACTATTCGCATCTTCCTTCGCGAAATTCATGCCAATATCAGAAAAAAAGAATATGAAAATAATATTGGGCATTTAAATGAAACAAAAATTCCCAGGGCTGCCAGACATTGCATATTTTTTAATATCAAAACATGGGCCATTGAAAAGCGTGAAATAGATTGTCAACAACCAAAAGTTTTTTGACTGATTGGTACAGTGATCATATACTTGATTCTCTCATGCTTTACAATACATGGTGTCAAAACGTGAGAATGGATTTTCATTAAAATTCAGACTTTGGTATGATTTTTATGTGAGACTCTCGCCATCTTAAGAAAATGTAATTGGATGAAATGCTTAATTCTGAAAGTTCTGAAACAGAACACAACAACATAATTTTGCCATAAGTAGGACATAACGTGACCTATTTGCAGCTGCAAGATTATCCTCCAATTACTGGAAGTGGACACCGATATACTACAATATGGTAATGATGGCTGGGCTAGGGCTATAATTGGCATAGTACCAATAATTTTATGTGCAATTTCAGTCCAAAACTACTTGCGCCGCTCTCAAAATTGCCGCCTTTTGCGTGTCATCGCGCAGATCATGTGTGTTTCTCAAGCAGCAAAGTAGCACTTAATGGATAATTATTATTGAAATACAATGCAATGGAAGACGTAGGACTTTCGACCATTTTAAATTTTGGAGGCATACGTTTGCCCTAAGGCTGATGAGCCTCTCGAACTTCCCCTGACACTCAAATAAAGCTCTGATACCTATATCCTTGATGTCAGGCTTTGTTTATGCAATTTTAGAATCGCCAAAGAAACCCTTGTTTTGGCTTTTTAAATTAAAAATTTCTTTGATGAAACGATATTTCGAGCACACGTTATAACAATTAGAGCCCATCAAAGACGGAGGGCCAGTGTCTTTAGATATGGTTTATTTTTTCATTTCTTTTTTGTGGATTTATTTACTGGAGTATTATTTATAATACAATTCGATACATATCTAGGTTTGTATAGCACCTATCGCAAAAGTATTTCAAAAGGGGATGTAGCTCAGTGGTAGAGCGTTCGCTTTGCATGTGAAAGGCCCCGGGTTCGATCCCCGGCATCTCCAATCTCTTTTGGTAAATGTTAATAGTTTTTATATACCTACTTTATTTTGTTCACGACGAGATTCTGCTAATGTTCGAAGAACAAAACTGCTAAAAAAGTATATATATGTATTTCATAGATATGGCAAAATAGCTATTTTCTAGTCACAAGAGGGCGCTGTAGTTTGACAACTTTCCACACGTGAATTATTTTAGGTTATGTTTACTATCAGATCAGCGTGCTGGGATCTTGGTGCTGGGTGAAAATGTCCTAAAACAGTTATTATCGAAAAGTTTTAACTAAAATAAAATATGGGCTTGACGAAAGAATATTTACGGTATGTCCCTGCTGGAAATTTCAATATCATTGCCAGTCAAGGTTGTAATGTAGTGTTTGTTACATTAGAAGGGCAAGAAGGCAGATATGTCGCTGTTGGAGCTTGCGAGCACATTATTATTTGGGATTTACGTCTAGGTGAAAAGGTAAAGTCATAAAAAACAATTTATTAGAAACAGAATAGACTGAGGTTGAGTGCATTGTGGAATGCTGGGGCCCATTTGTAAATACAGAAATTTACCACTGGTGACAATTGAAGAGCAAAAAAGCTTCATACATTTTATAGTAGGGTACTTCATGGTACGTTTACAAGACCCTCAAAGCTTTATCAGCATCAAGTTATTCAAGAATTTTTTTATTCTGGGGTCCTTAGTTGTCATGTAATTTTGCATTGGAATGTTGGCTAAATCTAGTGTGACATGATTTAAAGATAATTAATTTTCAGGCTCAGGTTTTAACTGGTGAGAAAGCAGTCGTAACATCCATTTGTGCAAGTCCAAATAAAAGGCATCTTGCAGCAGGATACTCGGATGGTAGTGTGAAAGTATATGACTTAAAATCAGGAGATGTTCTCAACATATTCCAGGGTCACAAATCAGAAGTTACAGCTTTAGGTTATGATAGTTATGGACATAAACTGGCATCTGGTGCAAAAGTAATTTTTTGATACTATTTATATTTAGTGTCCAACCAAAACAGGTTTTATAACCAATATTTCAGTATCCTCTTTGGTTCAGCTAAAACCAAAACTTATTAAGGAATCTGATCAATTATTTGATAAACTAACAACTATGATACGAGATGTAATCCATCTCCAAACAGACTTAGGAAATCAATCTTTCTTTATTTTTAATTGAAAAACATTTTGCAAATTCAGAATATCATTTTTACTGACTGTAATTGAGAAGATTAATGCTTGAAACTATTACAGATAGTGTGCACAAAAATTAGAACAATATTTTTCTTTTTTATCAGTTCTGTATGAAAAACAAAATGATAGACGATGTGAAAAAAGTTGATGTAGCTTTAAAAGAAATTGCATTTTGACCAAAGACAAGAAGGTATGGAAGGAAAAGATGAATTGATAAAAAGTTTGATTCTAATAAACTTGCTAATCCTGATAATGGAAGGCATTGTGCTGTAATTAGCTGATATCCATTTTACATTGACAATAAATCCACAGATTTCTCCATGCATTGAGAAATTTCAAAAGTGTAAAACAGGAATATCTGTGAAGTTCTTCATGGATTCCTTCACAAATTTAGAACTGGTTCTAATTTTTCCCAAGTTGAACATCAAATTCCATGGTACCAACCTTCTTTTTCATTCCAGTATATTGAACAAAAACTACATTATTCAACAATATGGTTTCTGTTTTTGAGATTCGCCTTTTATATTATTACTTGTGTAAATTCAAAACAAAGCTAACTATAATGAAAACATTCTATCACTCTTGGTTGTACCAACTGTGGATTTTTTGCTGAAATCGAAACTAAACCGAAACTCGTATTTTGGACCAAATTGCCCAAACTGAAATTTCAGTATATTTTGATTCTATGTTTTTTTAAATAGGATACAGATGTAGTTGTCTGGGATACTGTTGCTGAGGCTGGTCTATGTAGGTTATCTGGTCACAATGGAGTTATCACACAACTTCAGTTTATGTCTCAAAAGCCAGTTCTTATATCATCATCAAAAGATACATTAATAAAGTTCTGGGACCTGGAAACAAACCACTGCTTCAAGACTCTCACTGGCCACTTAACTGAGGTAATTGTCTTAGATAGGATATTTGCACATTTCTTCATTTTCGTATTTGATCAAGCATAAACAATTTATTCTATTCTAGGGACTTATGTTGTTTTGCAGATCTGTTTAGATAATATCAATACATATCTTACAGTGTAATACTATACTTATTATACTAAGTTGAATAATACTTTAATATTTTATGTTTATTGATTCTACAGTATTACTCCTGATGCATCTCAAATAACCGCGGGAAACACTTTTACAGGGAAAGTCATATCTACATATTTTTTAGTGAAAATATCCTCTTTTCACTTACATTACACTTGAGATATTTGTTAACATTATCTTGATGAATACGTCTGTTTTAAACTGTTTTTACGTCTTTTTTAAAGTTTTTTCATTGTGTTCTTTATTGAATAGGCACTGTATGACTCGTCGGTCAAGTTCATCTTAAAGAAATTTGGTCAGATGGAGATCAGAGAAATTAGTGTTTCTGATCGTTCACTAGATCATATAACAATTCCTTGTCCAGTATGTCTTCTTTAAGTGGACATCTCTTAGTAAACAAGAATCTTGTGATATCCTTTTCCATTAGGAATGTGTGGACCACCTAAAACTTAAATTTTATGTGTCATTTATTCATGTGTATCTGAAATCAAACCATGGTACAACTTTCTTCTCTAAAAGCTCATGCAAAAAAGCTAAGAATGGATTAGTTTATAGCAAGACATGGAACTACTTAGAGCTTATGGCTTATTGCAAGTATTACGTAAATATAAATGAAAGTCATTAAAACATATTTTTATCACATATGAGATTCTGAGTAAGTTTTATTTGATTTAGCTTGTTAACTATTGACCAGATAGCTTTCTTCCATCACTATCAAACTTATCTTTTTTAGGTATGGTCGATAGCTCTAGTAAAAAATGATCAATATTTGGTAACTGGTTGTGGAGATGGTGAGCTAAGAGTATTCAAGATATATGACAAGGAGGAAGAAGCAAAAAATACCCTTGAACACATAACAGCTACCCTAGAATTAATCAACATGGAAGAGGATATTGAAGGAACAGTATGTATACTCTGTTAAGTTTTCCATTCAACTATTTGGTTATAATCATATTTGTGTAGACTATTTGAGTGTCTTGGAAAAATATATTGAAACTCTCAATTTTGTAGTAAGGAAAAAAGAGAGTTACTAAATGTATGATTCTTGCAGCATCCCTTACAAACTTTAAAAGTAGGCAGTTTGTTAAGAGGTGGCAGAGGCAGAGTCATATCTATGTTTTGTGATGCCAGTGGACAAATAATTGGATGCCATGGTACAGATATGCAAATAGAATTGTTTCACTTCTTGAGCGATGAAGAGGCTAAAGCAAGAATGAAGAAAAGGATAAAGAAACAAAAAAAGAAAGAAACGTGAGTATTTAAAATATATGAACTGTGTGATAAGTAACTTTAATACTATAAAAATATCTATTCCCAATTCACAAAGAACAAGCTTGAGTATTTTAACTTTTGTATTTTGATTTCATTCATACAGATTTTTTCAAAATATTTTCTCTATCCATCCTAAAAATGAAAACCTACCATGTTAGACTTATGGAGGAAGTTACAGGCTGGATTGTTCTGTGGTATTTTATTCCACAGTGTAGAAGTCAGAAGAGTTGTTGCATAGTTATAAAATCCCAGATATAATCCTTGTAGCTCTATTTTTGTGCCTCCTTGCACAGATTATTGTGTATCATTATATATTATGAAGTGAAACTCTAAAATTCATGTGTTGTTTTAGATTGGTGAAAAGATTTTTTAGCATGTCTTGTGAATAATAATAATATCATGTCATATAATGCAATTTCTGTCTTCAGAACCGAAGAACCGATGGATACCAGCGACCCTGCTGACCGTCAACTAGGTCTAAAAGACGAAGTCCGTCGTCTAACTCCCATCAAACTGAACACCAAACCTAAATCTCTCCACCTTGTTCTGGGGAACGGAGGAGAGCTCCGGGTTGCCATCACTTTGTCCAACAATAGTCTAGAGCTACATACTCTCAGGTATGATCGATGATATGTAGTTTTACCACTATTATGTTTATTAGAATTTTATTTCCTGGTAAAGTAGAATCCGAAATTGTTTTTATAGTCAGATATCGTACTCAAACAGCAGTACAAGAAAACACTGAACTGGCAAATATTCTTTATTGCGTGAAAAATTTGCTTTACTATGCTGTTAGCACAGAAAATTCAAAAGTTTGTGAACGACTGCTATACTAGCTTTAATTTCCGATGAAGCACGTCAATTTTTAACTAGAATAATTTCCAGATCTACAGTAAAGGATGCGATACCAGTCTGCCTGAGGACCATCGCCAGTCAGGGACATCATAGTGAAGTCAGAGCCGTATGTTTCAGTAGCGATAACTTAGCCATTGCTTCAGGAAGCGGTGAGGCCGTCAAGTTGTGGAATAGGTCATCGCAGGCGTGTCTTAGAACTGTGGAGACTGGGTAAGTTCATTTTAGCTAGGTGTGATTCCACTGAGCTTTGCTGGAACCAGTCGGTTCACACTGCTGAATACCAAAAGTAACTCGATTTCAATCCGTTTTTGACTCATGGATATCATTGTGACATTTCAGCTAAGTTCTTCAAAAAACAGTGATAATTCGTATCGGGGTTTTTAAAATAAAAAAAAACATCAATTTTAAGGAATACCACTTTCCCGTTTTTGCCTCTACAAGATAGGGAAAATGTAGTCTAATTTCAGTAGTTCAGCGGTTTTGAAATTAAACATTCCAGTAAATTATAAGAAATTTCTATTTCAAGGGCTACAGCTCAAGCAACTTGATGGATTTTGACATAGTAAATGTTTTACCAGTGCGAGTCACACTAGGTATACAAATATTTCATAAAATCAAAATGGCAGATTTTAAACTTTAACATTGAAATTTCTACTTTCCATTGTACAGCCCAAACGACTAGATGGACTTTGTCATTTGAGATGTGCTTAAATTGGTCTTGATAGCACAACTAGAAATTCATCGTTTCCATTTGCTACATTCGAGCTTTTTGTGTTTTTTAAATGTATTCTCCTATTCCACATTGCTACTAGTGAGTTATTTCATAATCTCAAAATGAAACGAGATGGAATCGAATTCGAGATGACGCAGTATCGGTGAGAACAGTACCAAAAAAAAAAATCCGTAAACACTTCCAAAAGGGAACTTACAAAAATTTCAATTTTCACTTACTCTATTCACTTTATGGAAAATTATCACCAAACTTTTGTTATTTGTTGAGAAAAAAATACCTGTTGCCATGGAACCAGGATTTACTTCCTGTTATGTATATTTCAGATATGTGGTATCAATAAGTTTTGTGCCGGGAGATAGACATCTTTTAGCGGGTCTCAAAGACGGTAAATTGCTAATCATTGACATATCGGTTGGAGACATTCTAGAGGAGATTCCAGCACATGATGGGGAGCTGTGGTCTATCTGTTTGACACCTGATTTGGTAAGTAATCATATGTATGAGGTAGTTCAGTAGCAGTGACAGATAGATATATGGACAGATAGATGGACATAAATTGATTAGAATAATATTGTTAAATATGTGTCGGATGAATTACTACACGATTCAGTCTTTTGTAGGGATGCACCGAGTGCAACTTTTCTGAGAAAGCAGAGTACTGAGTACTCGGTGAAGTAATTAACTTTTGTTTATTTCTGTTACTATCGGTAATATTAGGCTCATTTGAGCGTCAAAATTCATTTACTTTTCCAAGAGATCAACGCACCGTCAAAAAAAAAAGTTCCTATACCTGACCCGTTTTTTTTTGTGAGTGTATTTTAAAAGTTGTATTAGTCTTGTAGGGTTTTGCAACTGCTAAGTATATAGGGTGACTTCGAAGTTGAGTCATTTATTTTAACAGTGAGTAGATCTGATCAAAAGAAATGTTTTTTCCTTTAACATTTTTGTGGTAAAATTAAAGTAACAAAGTTATAGCCCTTTAGAAGTTTGAGTACCGCCCTGTCTCAATAATAATATTATGTGCTCGTGTTTGGCAACAACGGATATACTCCGCCTTATCGGTTCATCGCATCGGAAACAAAAAAGCGAAACAATTTGAAACGCTGATCACGATGTTTTTATTCAGTCAATGTGTCAGTCGGTAACGCGTGAGTGAATAGTGGTGTTTGCTGCGTGGCTCACACGAAATAAAAAATGGCACATGTTTATGCGGATCGGTTTCCCAATCGAGTGCAACCAACCCCTCGTGCCTTTGTTAATGTAGTACAACGGGCTCGTGAATCAGGTGACTTAAGACCTCACAGGGGAGGGCATGCCGGTACTCCAAGACCTCACGATCAAATACAGGTCCGCACTGAAATACTTGTCGGGAGGATACTTTATAAAACAAGGTAAAATTTGTTTTTTAATTTTTTTTTATTTTTACACACATATTTTGGTTTATCTTCCTTCTACAATCATTATCTGAAAATTAATGACTCGACTTCAAAGTCACCCTGTATATGTTTTTGAAATTTTATAATTTAAGATACTGTGTAATTCAGCAGGTAGATATTGAGTTTAAATTTTAACCATATTTTAGCATTACAGTAATCATAAATGGATGCTTTACATTCGAATTTACATTTTTGTTCATGTTCGGCAACGACAGGCCCCGTGCTGCAGAAATTTAGAAAAAAAATTACTACCATGTCATGAGCATCATGAATGTTGAATTCAAATCCTATATATTTCTAGGCTGCCTAGAAACACAAATTAAAATTGAAAAATAGAGAGAAGGGGGGAGCGATAAAAGAGGAAATATAAAATTGTAAAAAAGCAACATTGCAATATTGACTTTTCTTTATGAAAAAACATGTAGTAGTAACACCCTGTATATAAACAATGCGCTTCGTAAATACCGCAAACATACTAGTTATTGGAGAAGATTGTCAACATTTACTAAAAAGATCATCTAAACCGTGCAACCAATTCCAGCAAAAGCATGCTGTAACCTTAGCTGTTTTTAATGGTGAGTTAATTTCTTGTAGAATACAATAAGGAGTGGGAAAATGCATAAGTGATTTACACAGGTTGTGTCTTTTGCGTTCAGACCTAGTAAAATGCGCCGAGGCCGAGTACCGCGTTCAAACTGAGTACTCGCTACATCCCTACGTTTGTGAAACCATATGTCACTGTTTTCGTTTTTTCAGAGGGTTTGTGCAACTGGAGGTGGTGACAAAACAGTGAAGTTTTGGCAGTTCGAGCTTATAGTTGACGAAAAAAGAGAAACAAAAGCAAAAGTTCTATCTCTTCTGCACACAAGGACCTTACAGCTGGAAGACAGTGTCTTATGCGTGAAAATCTCACCTAACAGCAAGTTTGTAGCTGTAGCTCTACTTGATACTACTGTCAAGATATTCTTCATGGATACTTTTAAGGTAATATATAAAACACAACATAAAATAATTGGTTTCACAGTTGATATAAGATAATTTGGGAGCGAGAATTGGTACATAGATGGATAGAATCTGGCATACTTATTGGGTGAAAGTGTGGTCTCTGTGGTAAAATCTGTGTCATGTGGGGACATCTGAGGCCTTACAATGGTGGATATATTTCGCTGTGATGGTTTATCAGATCAAAAAAGAATTGTCAGTTTGAAATTCAAATTGTTTCTAACCACAAATCGAACAAATGTTATTTTTATTGATAGCCGTTAATTTTATATTGCAAGCACAAATATTTATGTCTGGCATCCACTACATAGCTAGGTAACAAGACTTAATTTGTAGATCCACCTGTACAGGATTTAAATGTTGTGGGCTAGAATTCTGCCAACATCAGGTTTTTATTTCCTTTTTGAAATTAATTCTCTGCAACATCTTCACGACTTATAAAAAAGTTCTTTTCCAGTTTTATCTGTCGCTCTATGGTCACAAACTGCCGATACTGTGCATGGACATCTCTGCAGACTCAAAAATCATCGCTACAGGATCCGCTGACAGAAACGTGAAAATCTGGGGCATGGATTTCGGCGATTGTCATAAAAGCATTTTTGCTCACGACGATTCGGTGACAGGTTTACAATTTGTGGGTAAGACACACTACTTCTTCACATGTGGCAAGGATGGCAAAGTTAAGGAGTGGGATGGCGACAGTTTCGATAAGATCATAACCTTGCAGGTATGTATTAGCAGTATACGACATCTTGATATTAAAAATGCCATCAAGTAGATTGGCTTTATACCTGCCCTTTCGTTACGGCAAAATTTTGAAAATTTCAATTAAGGAGTGGACCAATAAACTCAAGTATAGAAAATAAATCGTTCATAACTTTGTTTCAATAGCATGTGTTTCGAAAATATGTGCGACTATCATGTCTAACTGGTGTGTAGTACTAAAAGGATCAGAAGATTCTTGATAATAGAACGTCTTTCATTGATGCTAAAGATGTAAAATTCGTAACCCTTTACAATTTCATCCCCTAATTTCCAACTTGCCCAAAAAATCCTCAAGATGAACAGATCTCTGATGCGCCAAGAAGAGAATTTTCAGTGCCTTTTACTTTATCGTCCATGGTATATTAGTAACCTTGCTTATTAATCTCATCAACATTGGAACAGTACTTCCCGAGTTATAGAGAGTTAAGGAATAGCGGACAGACAGATATACAGACCGACGCAGATGAGTGGCAGGGTTTGTTCGTGATGTACATGTCAAGTAACATCTAAAAAACATCACACTTTATTTTGACAACATTTTCGCGGTTACAATACTTTCTAGTTAATTGGCATCGGAAGGACAAGGTTGGCTCACTTCCTACCCACATGCCACAGGTGTCGGGAGGAATATTTACAATCGCTTCCGTAATATTTTTTTTCATCTGCTCTACAGTATTTGGTTTGTTGGCTTAAACAGTATTTTTCAAAAATTCCCATAAAAAGTGTCAGGAGCCGTTAAATCCGGTGACCTTGGTGGCCAGTTGACATCACCAAATCGAGAAATTAAACGTCCCAGAAATATTGTTGCAAAAGATTCATTGTTTCCTTAGCTGTGTGACAAGTTGCTCCGTCCTGCTGGGACCACATACTTTGTAGGTTAAATTGTTGGATTTGAGGAGCCAGAAAGTTTTGCACCATATCACGGTAGCGCTCGCCAATAACAGTAAGAGAATTTCCTGCAGCATCTTTAAAAAGTAAGGTCGAATGACCTCCATACCAAACTGTGACTCGACGAGGATGTAGTGGTTGTTGATGGATGACACGAGGGTTCTCTAATGCCCAGATATGACAATTCTGCTTATTAAAAAATCCGTTCATATCGAAGTGGGGTTCATCGCTCATTATCAGTTAACGGTAAAAATCGTTATTTTGGGTATTAAGCTGCTCCGTTCCTGAGAACGATGTCTGGTAGACGTCTCAGGGCGCTCCACTACACTTTCACGAACTCTCCCGATATTTTCCGGAGTATAAACTGTTCGAACACTGCCCGATCTTGGGAAGTCTTTAACTTTTTGCCTTTTTTCAAGCTTGATCAGACTGACTGGCCATTTACATTTCGTACTACTCTTTTATAACTCGTAACATTTTCTTTCAGGGCCATCACGGCGAAGCTTGGTCGTTAGCAGTGAGCCCTAATGGCAATTACGTGGTCTCTAGCGGTCACGATAGAGTGCTAAGGCTTTACGAAAAGTCTGACCAACCCCTAGTATTGGAAGATGAACAAGAGGAAGAAAGGGAACAACAAGAGCTAGCGACTGGCGAGCAAACCTTCGTCCCAGGTCATGTCGACTTGAAGTTACCTTCAAAAAAGACGATCGGCAGCGAAGTAGCCGCTGAGAGTATTTTGGAATGTCTGGAGGTGTGCGAGAAATACAAGGAGCAGCTGGCGGAACATGAAGCTTTGCAAGCTGCGTCGTCGCAGACATTGCCGAAACCTGCACCCCCGCCGTTAATGGTTGCCTTTAGTGTAAATACCGCTGAAGATTTCTTGTTGGAGTCGTTGAAGAGGATCAGGTCGAGGTAACATACAGTAACATAAGCCTGTTTTGTTCACCACACGTCTTTCAATAAGGAAAATTCTTTTGCCTGAATATTCAAAGGTCCCTTCTTGTGACGTTTTCGGGGATGAGACATCACTGAACAGGAAGCATAGCTGAAGGAAGCATTGGGAGAAATATTCTCAGTTTTATCTGCTGTGAAGACATGCTAACGAATTCTGCACTTGTTCGTAGTTTTATGCTCAAATGACCAATAGCTATTGTAACGCTTAGGCGGCTGCCGCTTTGCCGCGCTGCATCTTTGTTGTGCCAGGGTGTAAAGGGACCACGAATAGGGTAGAGTCAGCTGCTTTATTGCTGTGCATGCGACTGATCAATGTTTTTCTTGCATCTTGCTGACTGTAACACGGGTTGAAGGGTACAATTTGAAAACTTCAATAAAAAACACTAAGAATATGGTTTTTGGAAGCAAAATATCGACATTCCGTCGTTGTAAGACATGTACCACCTCATATTTTTTGTACTGCATGTTTATAATTTTCTTTATTTTTACAGTGATCTGGAAGAAGCGTTATTACTCCTACCGTTTTCTTCAGTATGTGAGGTCTTGCACAGCCTCTCACCTTTAATGGCAAGAGGTGATAACATAGAATTGCTTCTGAGAGTACTAATGTTTTTGTTAAAGTTGCACCATAAGCCTTTGGTGTCCAGTCACAATACGTTGCACATATTACAAAAATTGAAAAAGTTGGCCACAGAACGTATAAAAGAGCTTAGGGTAAGTATTACATTCTCTGCATATTCACTAAGGTATGGTTTTCTTTTGAAACATCTTTTTGTTAAAACTAAGTAGCCCATGTAAACAACAATTTTAATTTTAATCATTTTATATTTTTGTAGGATTTAGTCGGTTACAATTACTATGGTATGTTATTCCTGCAAAGAGAAGTTGAAGCTGCAGAGGGTGTACAATTATTTAGGGATGCTACAAGAGAAAGGACAAAATATGAAAAGCAAAGAAAACAAAGGGAGAAATTAAAACGATCAATAATAGCACTCTCAACATGAACTGTTAAGAACAATAAAAATATTTTTATACTTCAGTAATTTAGAGTTTATATTTATTACTTATTATTATTATTTATGTTCGTGGCTAATACTTATGTGGGAGATGGCTCAAGTTAACTTCAATTTTGTAAATGAAAAATGCGCATCTCCGATCCACAAGTCTAATCTAGTTTTTGAATAAACGTCTTTGGAATGTGAATAGTAAACAGCTGAAACAAGAATAAGGCGTTGCTCAACTGTCACGTGCCAGCTGCTCTGTGTTGAATGATCAATCTTTCATAAATTTTACTTACTACTACTTTACTTTTACGGATTTTTACGCAAATAGCAAAATTAGCCTAATGAATCCACGGTCCGACCGAAATTACTAAGTCAGGTAATGGTCCAGCTCGGAGTTTGTATCTAACGTTTGGCATCTGAGTAGAATCATCTCATATTCTCGACGACAGCAACCGCTAGATGGGAGCTTCCTAACGAATTGAAAACCGAGCAGTTTGCTAATTGGTTTCCCTATGAAATACCTAGATAGCTGGGTCGAAAATGACGTTTTTTGCATTCTCAAATACCAAATTGCTTACACCTCGGAAAATATAAACCTTGGAGGAAAGTTCATTGGAGTCTCTTTTATTCTCAATGACTCAAAAAAATTTTAGAACTGATTCCGAACAATTTTTGACACCGTTTTTAGTCTATCAACACGCAGATTCCATAAAAGAGGTCCTTTTGGAATAAGCATACGCAAAAAAACGACTCGGAATATTTCTTTGGTGAATGCAAAAATACTTCTCTGGATCCCTGAAAGGAGATAGGTACCTATACCTACCTAGGTATGTATGAGTTTTCTTTCATAAAATAAAAACCTAATAACATTATACACATTACTGATTACTGGAGTATACGCACCGAGTTTTATGCTGTTGTAACCACGGGAGGTTTAGTGGATATTTTATCCTTCAAATTCCTGCATATTTTGCTCATCTTAACATCCCAACTTTCTTGCTTGTTTGCTCTTTGGCTCATTATTTACTGTCAACGTTTCATTAATATCCGACTTACATAGCAAAAATGCATAATATCTAGATTTCGGAGTTTTTAGCGATTTTTATTCTACACCTATCGAGGTTAGCCGCGAAAGTGGCGAATTTACTGTAAGTCGGAAATGGCAACGTTGAAAATCGTCCGTCTGTTTGTGCCCGCCGCTGTGAAGCTAGAAATCCACATCGCTGAGAAACCAGAAGCAACTCTCGACCAGTTCTCGGTAATTGTAATTGTACAGCTTATCTAATATCCAGATGGCCGTAGACCATACTTCTCTTATATGCCGAGTTTTGGAATATAAGTATCAATAGCGAAATAGCATAGTGGCAAGAGTGCACGTCTCTCAAACAAGGTGTTTTTTTTTTATTTAGTTTCTGCTTTGTTGTTCAAAATATATTTGCATGATGTACGTATATGAGTCTTTTTATTTCTGTTTGTGCTCTCCGCTCTGATGCAACAAATATCCATCTCGATGAGAATCTGGCCTCAACTTTAGATCACATCCCGACAGTTGGACAGCTTATCTATTATCTAGATAGCCATAGAACATATTTCGCGTATATGCCTAGTTCTAGAAAGTAATCATCAATAGCCAAATGGATCAGTGCGAAGCTCTTCAAAGGGGGACCTGGGGTTCGAGAACGAAAGCACGCAGCTTGTTTGGTTTTCATTCTGATAAGTTTTTTCTAGTAGTACACTTTTATTTTTAACTCCACTATTATGTGTTTTGGATGTTATATGAGATGTACATCCCGAAAAACGATGTCACATATTTCCGTCGTTCTATCTGTCCCCAATATAACTTGAGAGTGTGTTCCTAGCATTACTATAATCGGCTTCAGGTGCGCCCTAATACCAAAATCTATGTTTGGTTTACAGGTTGTGTAAAATCAAAATGCTGAGAAGAACTATCCAACCCATTGGTGACAATTCAAAATGGTAGTAGAAATTATATCTTCGCACGCCACTTCTTTCACAAAGATTGGGTATCTTATGCATATGCCCCACTTGCCCCCTCCTATGATTCAGTGGATAGCCGTTAACTTGAAGCTACTCCATTTGCCAGCGATGGCTTAGCTAACGCCCACCCTGCACCCCACTTTCCGCCTAAGATGCGATTGGCAGAGAAACGGGCATGGAACTGTGACGTAATCGAGAGCGTTTCGGTACGGTCGGCCGGCGCATCACGCACTGCTGCTGTTCAGTCGATCTTTGGATCTCGTAGAGGCATCACGTCGCGTACAAACAAAGAAACATGTGCGGTTTCGAGTGTGATGTTAGATTGTTTGATCGTGTAGGGTGCCGATTTGCAGTGATTCTGTGGCGTTTATGTTACCTATTGGATACACGACAAGGCTTGCTTAGAGTTTGGTAAGTTCTGGATTCATTTGTTTACACTTTGTTGAAGGTATAAAAAATAATAAGAACGACTTTTTTGTGGATAGTAGAGGCTTACGTAAACGTTAACTTTGTTTGATGCTTGAATCAATGAATATTAAATATAGCTATATTTGTGATTGACCTGACTCACTGCTTACAACGGTACTTCAACTCATACTGACGTTTATTTAAGTGATCCTTTGTGTTAATTTTGCAATGTAAGTCGTTCGATTTTTTTTTTTTTGGAAACTAATCTTTATTCAATAGTCAATTTTTACAAATTTGATAGAAGACATCAGAGTTTTCTAATCTGTGTTTAAACGCTTAGCTGTTCACCTCAATACACGTCAAGACGTAATGGATACTCGTGAAACACACTTTACGCCACTGTGTACGAGAATTTGTGCCGAAAGTAAAAGACATTGGCATCTCTGGCACGAGAAAAAGATCTTAGCGTCAGACAACCCTGGTTCTACCTCTGAGGGAAGACTGCACTTCTCCAACGAAAAGAAAAATTGAATTGGTCATTTCAAAAACCATTACTCATATTTTTTCCTATATACTTTTTTACTGGAAACGTTTCTTAAATATGGATGCGCATCTCTTAAAACTATAATACTATAAAAAGCTTGAAACTCGTTTCACAATTCAAATTGTGTGACTTTTGGAATGACTAATTTCAATATTTCAAAGATATATCGAAGTCAAAACCAGAAAATGGTTATTGGATCTTCCAACACTCCTGAAATGCCCGTATTAAGGTATCTGGGATATCCATTCAAACAATGTCACAGGAATGCAAACTTTTATTATACTGGAATGTTACAACAACAGAGGTTCTCCCAGCCGGGTTTTAAAAAGTAATCCATGTTTGTAGATTGTATACCTCAACAAGCAATCATCAAAACATATTATGTATGTTACATAAATTTTCTTGAAAGAATCTATCCGAATGGGACATTCAATTTAAAAACAATTTCAAATAGTGCCAAATTCTTTCGACTAAATGGTCTCATATTTTATTGCATATCCAAGTAGACATTATAACCCTTCCAAAAGATTTGCGTTTTGATGATTATTTGATAAGCGATTTAATATACAAAAACGTCATTTTGAATTAAAAAAAATTTATATTCTACGGTTATAAAATAGTGACAATCAATTCCTAAGCATATATATTATTAATGCATTAAATTCATCACTCTGAATATGAGCTTGTTACCTTGACCCACAGATGAAATAAATGAGAGGGAGAGGCATTGGGTGTTGTGTTCCTTGGATAGCTTAGGAAAGCTCAGGAGTACTGTGATAGATGAGGCGAGAAGTATGGATAAAACTTGGAGAGGAGATCAACATATACAGATATACACAATGTACATAAAATACAGTAACTAAGAACTTAAGCATATATCTTGCCTGCTACAAAACTGTACATATAGCACATTCATTACAATAGGCTGGTATATCACAGTTTAAGCGGAAGGCAAATAGGAAGACCTACTTTTGAAGCTAATTCTAAAACCAATCGTTACAGTCAGGAACTCCGCCAAGTAACGGATATGTACAATGAAGAAATAGAAAGGGTAAGTGTCGGGAGATATTGGGATGGAGGGAAGCTTTGCAACTTTGATGCAGAATGGCACGGACTCTGGCGAGGGAACACGTGTGGATGCAACATGCACACATTCTGGCCCCGCCTACGAGATCCGCCGGGTGGTACCTCTGCGTTCGACAGTCACAGACGGTTTACCACCTACGGACAATCACAACATCCATAGCCAAGAGAACAATTTCTCATGGGACGGGATTCGAACCCGCACATCGCAAGGCGACTGATCAGGAGACCAAAGAGTCTACTACTGCGGCCACCGCAGCTGCCACAACAACTGTATACAGCATTTTTTCATGCCATTTTGAAATAATCAGTATAGTACAAGTCTAGTCATTTAGACACAGGTGTTTGCCAAAAAGTATTAAACAACGTTGGTTATGGATCCAGAGACGGAAAGCAAACGTATCCTGTTTAGCCTGTAACTGTGCGGCTTAACCTCTTTTCTGGCTGTTCCACATGTTTGAGCCAGGAAATTGCTTGGTCGATATGAATTCCTAAAAATCTTCTCCGGTTATGGTAGCTGGCTCGTTTATAGTTTTTGTTCACTCATTACCCTGAAGGAATTTTTCAAGCACGCAAAAATTCACAAAAAGCGCAAGAATGCATCGACCTGCAATATAGACTCGATTTTACGGAACAAAATTATAAAAAGACTTTACAAACATATAAGACAGAAATAGAGATGCTGCGTAGTCAACTAAAGAATCTAGGAAGATCAGAGAGCCCTCAAATATCTCTTGAAGCTCAAAATATTGTTAAAAAAGAAGGTTGCAGATTTAGAAGCTATGCTTGACGTCGAATACGAGGATATGCAAGATTCTTCAAGTAAGTTGCTTATCTTGAAAGATATTTTACCGGAAACATTTGATGATGTTCAAGGTGCTGGTACACAAACTGATGTAACAATGTCACATATTGCTGAGCTGCAAGAAGAAATTGGCGTCCGAAGAGAACTTGAAAATAAACTGAGAAAAGACATAAAGCGTCTGATGAGCGAGAGTAACCAACGTAAGATCAACCTCTCGTTCGAAATCGCAGATATACGATGCGATACTGATTCTACTATAAAAGAGCTTCAAGATCAAATGGCTGAACTGGAATACCAGAATGAAATCATGACTATGAAAATTGTAGAAAAGGACGATGAAATCGGTAAATTGCATCAACTAATTACAAACCTGGAGCATGATATGATCAAACTTGAGACTCACACACTGACATCTGGCAGTGAACCAGAGCCACCTGTGTCAGAAGACGTAGCATTTTATAGGGAGCAAGTTGAGTTCTCCCGGGTCATGTACAAGAATATGATAATCCAGATGGATGGTGCAACGGAGAAATTGTAGCTAGACCATCAGATCGTCATCAACGAACACGTGAAGCAAGAAGCCGAGTTATCAGACAGGTTGACCAAGTTTGAAGATCTATGCTGTGATTACTTAGAAAGTATCCGTGATCTCCAAAAAGAAGTCCAATTGCTTAAATCACAGATCGAAGTCATGGATGAGTTGCTTCAGGTACAAGAAGAATCCGATGTTGATAGATTAATTGAAGTGCATGAGGGCAAAAGAACGAAGTGCGAAGAGGAGTTGCAGGAAATTACAAAACAATATACGGAAGATTTCAGGTGCTTCATGACAGTGTTTGTCAAGTACCTTAAAGAATTGAGAGATATAGCAAGGCCAGAGGACACACAATCGACCGAAGGATATGTTTCTGTTTTCTCTGACGAGACGAAAAATAATGTATGATATATATCTGCCGAAAAATTCCATATAATTCTACCGAAATATCGTCGACTCCACCTGGCAACACTGTTCAGATGTGTGATTTAAATTTTAATTCTCGTTTAACGTTATAACCCGTGAAATAGTTACGCTTGATTCTAAATGATTTACTACTATTGAAATTGATTTTAAAAGTGCCTTGTGACGGTATAATATATAATTTTGACACTGCCATTATAATTTGAACATAGAATGTCAGTATAGGTCAGATTTCAGATATAAAACTTATCAGAGCGAATCAAGTAGGCATATCGTCACAAGACGGAATCGAAATGAATTTTAACGATCATTTTAGATTCAGCCTCAGGAGTATAGTTTGTAACTTTTAAATGGGCTCATAGTCATAGTTCTTGTCAAATTTCAGTTCAAGTTTTCAAAATGACTTCGGACAATATTGAAGTAGCGATAAGGGTCAGACCAATGATCCAGCGAGAAGTAGCTGATGGTCTAGAGTCTAGACCCTCTCTGAAGCGTAAAAGAAAACTCCATATGGGAAACCGATGCAATTAGCCGCCACGGAGAGGTTTATACATTTACAAAAATCCCTTCACTTAACCTCAAATTAATCTTATAAAATTCTTAAAGTAGATTGATACTTGATAGCTATATACTTATTATTACAGTGAGTCAGAACCATCGAGATATAATAAAAGAGGAGACGAAATCACGTGACTTTGAGCTACACCGGGTTCGCCATATTGAGACGTACCTAGGTACATATATTTTATTTCGACTTTATTGTTTATTATAGAAAATCGTGTTTGCCAAAATTATTAGGCTTATTATTTATACCTCTCAGTGAAGCTGACCTAACTAACCAAACTACCCGTAATATATATATATATATATATATATATATATATATATATATATATATATAATTTATCGAAAAAATATAAATACTAATTTATCAAATAAATTTTGAACTGCAGGTCATGAGATTGTATTATTTTCATAAAATACATGTCAAGGTGCTTGATTTTCTTAAAGAAAACTTCATGAGTTAAGCCATCTATTTTTATTTTCAATATATTTATTAATTGTAGATTCCCTAAAAACGCTGACCGTTGCCAACTTTGGGTGAAATTTGTTAATAGGGGTGAATGAACACCTACAAGATCTAGTGTTATTTGCTCGAAACATTTTTCTGAGGAGTCATTCGATAGAACATCAAAATGTTATGTTAATCTGTTAATAAACTCGTGTTTGTTTCCTAAAATGTTCTGTATATTTAATTCAAAACAGTCATTATGTTTTTTGTCCTTTTTGTAGTTTTCCTTGATATAATGTCATCTTAAATGCATGTTTTAATGTAAATTCTAGGTTTCCTAAATGTCTAGAAGTAATGAGCGTTAATGTTTTATTTTAGGAAGAATCACCACCTGCCAAGATACTAGTACTATCAAATACAGTATTAAGACCTGCTTCTACAGAAACAAGCAGTTAGTATAAGACATCATAGCAATAAGCTTGTATTTATGTAATAAAGATTATTTACAAACCTGATTTTTATTTATGTAGGCAGGCAAAAACTAAATTACCTAAAAATATTTGCATAATAAACATGTATATAATAGATTTTATTAGGTCTAACATTTTCAAAATATGTAATTGCGTCCCGGTCTACTGTATTCAATTTTTACGTGCCAAAAGTCGAGAAGTACGATTACTGATATTTGAAAAAATTACACCGGATTATTGTTCAGTACCACTTGAAACATATGTTTACCAAGTTTGGTTTTCAAAAGATGCGATGTATGTATCTTGAGAAAGAAATGCCATAAAAAATATTTAAAAAAAACTCGTATTTAATCAGGAAATCTATTGCACCTCTAAAAATTTGACTCCAACTGACAGTATACTATCACAACCAAATTTGGTGAACATATGTTTTAGGCGGTCCTGAATAATAAACCGCGGTGTAATGTTTTTCAAATATCGCTTATAGTAATTCTCGATTTTTCGCTCTTAAAACTTGAATACAGTATTGGGTCGTGTCTTACATTTTCTGAATATCCACAAACTGACATTTTTGACCATCCAACAAAAAAAGTTTATGAAAATCGGTCAATAAACACAAATGTTGAAGTAAGTGGGACACACAGTATATTAGATAGATTTTTTCTAAATACATAAGTGTAGCAAATGATATAATTTACATATAGTACAAATTCAATCAAATCAAATACATACATTAAAAACAGATACGATCCTGGCAGATCCGCCATATTGTTAAGCGGCTAAGCTCCACCCCCTGGTCCCTCTATCAATAAACTGATTTATATGACAATAGCGTCTGGTTTTGTATTATATCTCGATGGTCAGAACACAAATATAATGCAATATGTTTCTATAAAAAAAAATCTACATGCCTGTAAAGGACAATATCCAATATTGTCATTTGTTGGGACTTCGCTTGATGATGTCCATATATATGTAGCACCTGCAATCTTCCGTATATTGTTTTGTAATTTCCTGCAACTCCTCTTTGCACTTCGTTCTTTTGCCCTCATGCACTTCAATTTATCTATCAACATCGGATTCTTCTTGTACCTGAAGCAACTCATCCATGACTTCGATCTGTGATTTAAGCAGTTGGACTTCTTTTTGGGGATCCCGGATACTTTCTAAGTAATCACAGCATATATCTTCAGACTTACTCAACCTGTCTGATAACTCGGCTTCTTGCTTCACATGTTCGTTGATGACGATCTGATGGACTAGCTTCAATTTCTCCATTGCACCTTCCATTTGGATTATCATATTCTTGTACATGACCTGGGAGAACTCAACTTGCTCCCTATAAAATGCTACGTCTTCTGACACAGGTGGCTCTGGTTCACTGCCAGATGTCAGTGTGTGAGTCTCAAGTTTGATCATATCATGCTCCAGGTTTGTAATTAGTTGATGCAATTTACCGATTTCATCGTCCTTTTCTACAATTTTCATAGTCATGATTTCATTCTGGTATTCCTGTTCAGCCCTTTGATCTTGAAGCTCTTTTATAGTAGAATCAGTATCGCATCGTATATCTGCGATTTCAAACGAGAGGTTGATCTTACGTTGGTTACTCTCGCTCATCAGACGCTTTGTCTTTTCTCAGTTTATATTCAAGTTCTCTTCGGAAGCCGATTTCTTCTTGCAGCTCAGCAATATGTGACATTGTTACATCAGTTTGTGTAACAGCACCTTGAACATCATCAAATGTTTCCGTTAAAATTTCTTTCCGTTAAAATATCTTTCAAGATATTTTAACGGAAGCTTACTTGAAGAATCTTGCATATCCTCGAACTCGGCGTCAAGCAAAGCTTCTAAATCTGCAACCTTCTTTTTTAACAATATTCTGAGCTTCAAGAGATATGTGAGGGCTCTCTGATCTTCCTAGATTTTTTAGTTGACTATACAGAATCTCTATTTCTGTCTCATATGTTTTTAAAGTCTTTTTATAATTTTTATCCGTAAAATCGTGTCTATATTGCAGCTCGATGCATTCTTGCGCTTTTTGTGAATTTTTGCGTGCCTGAAAAAGGGTAATGAGTGAATAAAAACTATAAACGGAATTCATATCGACCAAGTAATTTCCTGGCTCAAACATGTGGAACAGCCAGAATACAGGTAAAGCCGCGCAGTTACAGGCTAAACAGGATACGTTTGCTTTCCGTCTCTGGGACCATAACCAACTGTGCACAACGTTGTTTAATACTTTTTGGCAAACACCTGTCTCTAAATGACCTATACTATACTGAGGATTGCATTATAGCATGAAAAAATGCTGTATACAGTTGTTATGGCCGCAGCGGTGACCGCAGTAGTAGACTCTTTGGTCTCCTGATCAGTCGCCGCGCACTGTGCGAGTTCGAGTCCCGTCGCAAGAGAAATTCTTCTCTTGGCTATGGATGTTGTGATTGTCCGTAGGTGGTAGACGGTCTGTGACTGTCGAACGCAGAGGTACCACCCGGCGGATCTCGTAGGCGGGGCCAGAATGTGTGCATGTTGCATGCACACGTGTTCCCTCGCCAGAGTCCGTGTAGCGTTCCCCCTTTATCCTGTAACCCCCTATAGCCTCACGGTACCTCATGGGTGTTAAGGCCTTCGTGGTAGTAGTAGTTGAAATATATATATATATATACAGGGTGACTTTGAAGTTGAGTCATTAATTTTCAGATAATGATTGTAGAAGGAAGATAAACCAAAATATGTGTGTAAAAATAAAAAAAAAATAAAAAAAAATGTTACCTTGTTTAATAAAGTATCCTCCCGACAAGTATTTCAGTGCGGACCTTATTTGATCGTGCGGTCTTGGAGCACCGGCATGCTCTCACCTGTGAGGTCTTAAGTCACCTGATTCACGAGCCCTTTGTACTACATGCATCCGACAGCATTTTGTAAAGACTACCCCCCCGTAAATAAGAATCATGTCCACAAGTTCAGCATTTTCGTAAACATGTGCCATTTTTCATTTCGTTTGAGTCACGCAACAAACATCACTATTCACCCACGCGTTACCGACTGACTAAAAACAACGTGATAAACGTTTCAAATTCTTTCGCTTTTTTGTTTCCGATGCGATGAACGGCCTCGTTCTCCGTTGTTGCCAAACACATAATATTATTATTGAGACAGGGCGGTACTCAAACTTCTAAAGGGCTATAACGTTACTTTAATTTTACCAGAAAAATGTTAAAGGAAAAAAACATTTCTTTTGATCCAATCTACTCACTGTTAAAATAAATGACTCAACTTCGAAGTCACCCTGTATATATATATATATATATATAAAGAGATGGAAAGCAAACACATCCTGGCTTTCAGCTTCGGACTCTTTTCAGCCTTTGCTGCTCCACTTTCATTAAATTTTGTGGATAAGAAAAATGGCGTCAAACTCTCTATACTTCCCACGCCTTTGAAATAACTTCTAGTACAATTTCCATATAATGCAATGACATCAAAAATACACACAATTTGGACTTGATGGAAAAGAAATCCCCAGATTGCAGCAATTAGCGTGTCCGTACACGATAGCTTCATTTTTTTTTGAGCTCTGGTGTAACACTATTTGTCAACATTGTTTTAATAGCGCATGACACGTACTTACATACTATATACATATACTACATAAATCCTGCCCCATGAAATCAAATACCCTCTTACAACTACAGATAATATCGCGCCCACCTCGTATGTGCATATCGCATTACCAGACCTGTTTTTTCTCGTGACGAGTCTAGCAACGCTGCTAAAACTCAAGATAGGGCTAATGAAGCAGTCATATGCAGAGAGGGGAAAAAAGGAAGAAGACTCGCGACCTAGGGACGATTCGCGTCTGTAAATATTTCTCTTTACCAAGAGCAAATCAATGGGAAAATCTATGATGTGTGAAACATGTCTAAGAGCTGTATAGAATTACCGGGGCTGGAAGTGTATCAATATATTTTATATTATAAAATGTTTACCCCTAAAAGAAATTTAAAAATGATCAATATCTGAAACAGAAAACGACGTTTGAGCAATTTTCATTTTATTGCGTCTCTGCATATTTCTCTGCCGCAACTCGACCGATTTTCAAAAAGCTTTTTTGTCCCTGGCCTAGCAGTAACCTCGTGTTGAAATTCCATCGAAATCCGACCACTACTTTCCAAGTTATAACTACAAGTGGCCATGGATATGCGGGCAGACCGACAAACAAACATCAAAAAATTGCTATACACCCTCCTTCACCCCTTCCTACCTCTCACCCCCAATGTTTCACCCTAAAATGTTTTTCAAAAATGATCAGGATCCTCTGGAAACGTCAAAAAACGAAGTTTGAGAGATATCTACTTCTTTGGTTTTTGGAATTTTTCTCCGCCGCCATTGGATCGATTTTAAAAAATTACAATGTTTTTTCGTCCTTTTCAGATTAGTAATCTTGTGTAAAAATTTCATCCAAATCCAAAGAGTACTTTCCAAGTTATATAGGAGCCAAGGATTCGTGGTCAGACCAAAAGATACACAGACCAACAAACAGACAGACCGACAGAAAACCCTTATCTAATTTTCCAATTTTTTCGCGATTGCAATACTTCCTCCGCCGGCGAGGCGTGGGAAGTAAAAAAGACTAATGAAAGAAAAATATGTGTGCCTTAGTAAGTGTACCATAAGCTATTGGAATTACGCAATTAACTGCCTATTGCACAAGTTGTAGCTATGTATTTTTGCAGTACTGCCATTCTACATTAAAATTTGCAAAGCTTCCCTCCATCCCAATATTTCCCAACACTTACCCTTTCTATTTCTTCATTGTACATATCCGTTACTTGGCGGAGTTCCTGACTGTAATGATTGGTTTTAGAACTAGCTTCTGTGAGCTGTTTTCCAGCTCCAAAATCTGAAACAGAAATAAGTGAATTTAACTGCTAAAACTTATCCCGTAATTTTCATGTCAGGACAGGACTCCTTTGTCTGGGCGAATCAAACCACGTATGTTTTAATTTCTACTTATTGTACAACATGTCCGCCAGCCCGGTGATATGTTTCAAGTACAATGACAGTGACAGTATATTTTGTTTATCTGTCTTACAGGTGACAATTCATTTATTTTTTCTCTTCCTCATTCCTATACATTGTACTGGAAAAAGGCCACCATGGTAAAGGAAACGTGTACAAAAATCAGAAATTAGAACATATAAATCTGGCTTGATTGGACCTAAGAAGTTTATTAGTTCACCTTGTAGAAAGTATTCTGCTTGTTGGTTTCATCAGGCCAACAAGCAGAAATACATATCGCTTGGGTTACCTATCCTACTTTCTGCTCGAATCCATTTTCCTTCTTTTTGTGGATTTTGGCCATTATTTTTTTATTTATTTCTCCGCATGATCCTTTTTTTTTGGAGCTAAAGATCTATACCAAATTTCAAATCAATTGATAAACAGGAAAGGGGTTAAATTACAATTGATAAATTAGACCCATACATAGAAAGCTAAATAAAACCGTTTAAAAAACAGTTATAAGTTCAAAGATTGTATGTTGAAAGTTGACCTATGTTTTGTAATAATAATGGTTATACAATATCAACTAACCTCCAGCTGATTATCTAGTTGAGTGAATTCTCTAAGCTCATTAAAAGATTCTTCCAGTTATTTGAGCTGTCTTTTAGGTACACTTGCAGGCACGTCTTCAGCTATTACAGATTCAGCTTCGGCTCCTAAAAAATATGAATTTAGTTTGGTTTACAGTCGTCCCGATTTAGCTAGAAGTGTCGTTAAATAAACGCAAATGCGCTTTTTGAATATGAAGTTAGCATTCCTAAACCATAACTTTACCATGCTAGTGATGTAAAATAATTAAGTAACGCTTACAAAATAATCGTTACAAATGAGTAACTAAATGTAACGAGTCCTACTTTTTGAAAAGACTCGTTACTTTTTATTCGAATTCGTTACTTTGAATGCGATACAGTCTTTTTCAATGTATACTTTTTAATTACTGTTAGTTACTACACTATACATTACTTTAGATACAAACGTTACTGGGATCTAATGTAGCCAGTACTGCCAGCGCCAGCAGCAAGTGACTTGGTTCTTGGATGTAAACTGGGTGGAAATGAAATGATGCGAATATCGTTAGGCTTAGGCAACTTTAGATACTCTTCTATCAAACGAGTTGCGGACTGCGGAGCTTTAGGTTGGCAATGTTTGTGTACACCTGTACACTTTTCATTTGACTTTGAGAGCTAGCGGTTGGCGGGTTGTTACTGGTTTGGACGTTGCCGTACAAGCTCGAGCAATAATATAATTATTATTTGTACAAAAATATGGAATCATCCGCGTCCGGTTCAGGAGAATCGCAAACTCAAAAAAGAAGTGTTATTTGGATGCATTTCACCAATATATCGGAAGCTAATGCAAAGTCTAATCTTTGTAAACATATTTATTCGCATAAAAATGGAAACATTAGCAATTTAAGGAAGCATTTGAAAACTAAACATCCGACTCTTTCATTGGAAGGAGAAAGGGCAAAACGGCGGGTGGAAGACGAAAATATGCCTAGGTGCAAAAGGAACTTAGTTTCAGGTATGTTTTATTATTATAAGTATTTTGTTGAACACCATTTACAGTGGAGTAACCAGACTGTTAAGTAGGACAGCGGAGTAACCAGACTGTTAGGGCAGTGGACGCTACTCAACTAAAGTAAAGAGTGAGGAGAGTGGTTCCTCCACGGTACCCATCTGGTTATGCCACTTGTTAAATACTATTTACAGCGTACAGCCAACGAACGAGACGTCACACAACGACGAGTTTAAAATATAAGTACCTTCTACGTATCAAATATCAAAAAAAATTAATAGGCAAGGCATTAGACAAAAAATAATAATTGGATCAATCCCAAAGTAATAATTTGATATAATATATAGAATGTAGGTTCTAAACGAAATGTTCAAAGAGTAACTAAACTAAAGAGTCCAAAGTTCGAAAGTAACGAGTCCTTACAGGTCCTAAAAAGTAACGAAACTTTGCATCACTATACCATGCTGTATCTTAAAATTTAAGACATTCATGTTCATATTTAGTTATGTTCATTAACTTAAAAAAGTATAATTAATATAAAAAATATACTCACCTAATCAAGTATCTCTTTTCAACCTGGTCTGCCACATGTTGGAATATCCGATTAGATACTAATTGGAAAAGTCCAGGATCTGTTTTATTGCCCAAAATCGTGTGTTTTGCCAAAAGATATGTTTGACCATATGTAAATATTGTGGCATTGAAACGTTCTGTGAAGCATTGACTAAAGGTTTTACTACAGTTCCATATTCATGTGAATTTGAACATTCCTGGTTAAATAAATGGTCTGAAAGCAAACAGTTACAATGGAAATGTAGGTTGTCCCAGAATACCATGTCAATCTCTTTATGTGTCCATAGGACAAAAATAATGCTACAATTTCCAATAAAAAATTGTCCTATGGGACTCCTTGATGCGCTATATGAAAAAAGATTTTCTTAAATTACTTTCAAACAGATATTATTGTATTGGGAATAGCTGATGTCTGGTCTAAATGAGTATAATAGTTGTGTTTTTAATGGAAACCATCAAGCGAACCCCAACTGATTATTGAGTTATCCAAATTTTGTTAAGTTATACAGCATCATTCAACAAATGACAATATTGGATATTGTCCTTTACAGGCATGTAGATTTTTTTTTATAGAAACATATTGCATTATATTTGTGTTCTGACTCACTATAATAATAAGTATATAGCTATCAAGTATCAATTCTACTTTGTTTAAGAATTCTATAAGATTAATTTGAGGTTAAGTGAAAGGATTTTTGTAAATTCTTACCGAATGTAAACCTCTCCGTGGCGGCTAATTTCATCGGTTTCCCATATGGAGTTTTCTTTTATCCTCCAGAGAGGGTCTAGACTCTAGACCACTAGACCCTCAGCTACTTCTCACTGGATCATTGGTCTGACCCTTATCGCTACTTCGATATTGTCCGAAGTTATTTTGAAAACTTGAACTGAAATTTGACTAGAACTATAACTATGAGTCCATTTAAAAGTTACAAACTATACTCCTGAGGCTGAATCTAAAATGATCGTTAAAATTCATTTCGATTCGCTCTGATCACCGACCAATATGGTGGGTTCATGCACGATTTAACCTAGCTTAACTTAAGAAAATGAGCATTTCATGCGCATGCGCGGCCAGGATTGCCAACGTAGCAGTTGAGGCAACATGAAAGTTAAATACCCTTAAATAATCATATGTTTAACGTCAAAGTAGCAGATGAAAGAGTAATCAAATCCAAGCGGATAACCAAAATTTCCGTATTATGTACCGCGGTTATAATATGGTTCAAGATGACACACGGGATGGTGACGTCAGTTACTCGAATCGCTTGAACGCATTGGTTTTAACCGCGGTTTTGTTGCAAGTTGTTTATTTTAGAAAAGCGCGTATATAATCTCTGATTATTTTTATTATCACTTAATAATCGGTGCTTTTTCGTCTACAACTGTATATGGAAAGTTTAAATAAGAAACCTTTCATAATATTCATGGGAGACATGTTTTTTTCAGATTTTTTTTTTAATGATGGAACCATGGCTTTGTAGCTATGATAACTTTCAATTCTCTAAATTTTTCCGCATGTCAAAGAAAACATTTATTGATTCAGCAGAAATGATGGAAAAAGAAATTAGCAAAACCGTATACAGATGGATATCTAGTGAGTTTATATGGCCATATTTTCATATTTTTGTGGTTTATGGCTACACAGGATACTTTGTTAAGCATAGCAACTACATTTAAAGTGTCCCCAACAACCGTAATGAGTATAACTAATAAGGTGCTCCACATTATGGTAAAACTGAAGTCAGCCTCTATCAATTTTCTCAATGAAGCTGAAGTACAATAACAATATCCATTACCCGGCAAAATTCCAACTTGTCACATTTCAAATAATAACCAGAAATATAAAACTACTCTTGAGTTGGGTAAATACCACAATTTTGCGGTGATAACTATGACATATAACAGCTGATTCGTGACGTCACGGATCTTATAACCAAACTGATAACTACAATCGCTTGAACGGATTGGTAAATACCAAGCCAAAATGGTAAATACCATTTCCATTTGGTTATCCGCTTGAATTTGGTTAGTGTTTTGTGGCTTATGTGTCACGTGGACTGGCGGACCAGCCTTGACGTTGACAAGTGGCCCCTCCCCACACGCTTGCGCCAATGCAGGTCACAGAACTCGGATAATAGTCCAGATAATATTGGAACATCTGCTCGGAAAACTCTTCCGATTCCTATTTTTGCATAATCTGATTCAAGGACCTCTTAAAGAATCTGCATGTGACTAGGCCCAAAATTGCTCCAAAAATTGTTATTAAACCGATTCCAAAAATTGATTTGTTCGCTTTGTTTAAAGTATTTTGCGGTTTTTAGGACATTCTAAATAAAAAATGAGCTTTAGAACTTTTCTCTAGACTTGATATATACAGGTATAAGCAATGTAAAACCTCAAAATATGTCATTTGCTACCCTAAAAACAATATGAAAAATGAATATTTTGTTGTTGCCAAATCTCACACATGCTTCAACCAACCAATAACAAAACCCCCAGAGCATTTGAATGCGCGCTCAATGTATAGTCTATGTCTATGTGAACGCGAGAGAGTTGAAATATCTCTCGTGCACGCTGAATATGCATTGAGCGTCCGCTTGCATATAAATTAAATACAAAGATTTATAATAACAGTATCTCCTAAAAGGTATCGTTAATGGTTATTTATGAAGCATGGCGACATTAACATTTTCGTTTTTTCAGATCGTTTTTCGGTATCGCAAAATCAATTTTTTGTACTTTCCCATCTCGTACAAAATCAACTTTTGACAAACATTGTCAAACATCATTTTGTTTCGGAGTATCAAAAAAAACGAATGCTACCTTTGATGAAGCGAAAACATTAATTTTTGTAATTTATTTGAAAAAGTTGTTCAAACAATTAGAGACGCAATTTGGAGCCTGACAACATGTAGATTTGTTACTAGGAGGCTTTTTCTACTGTAGATACTGGTGCACTCTGGACACCACCCTTTTGGCCACGCCCACCACATCCACCGCGTGCTCTGATTGGCGGATCAAACGGCGGGAAATTTGAACGGGGTTGATGATATATGTTGATTGGCGGGAACCGCTAGATCCACCGCGTGCTCTGATTGGCGGATCAGACGGCGGGAAGTTTGAACGGGTTGATGGTATATGTTGATTGGCGGGCCCCGTTAGATGGCGCACCCGACCGGAAGTGATTCAGACAGCCGACAATAGTAAGGTGTAGTATAATGTCTATGCGTAAGCGATGTGACTCATTTCATGTTTTGCGGTAAATATTTGCATATAGATCGATAAAAGCCGATGAATAATGGTAATTATAGATGCAATTCTGCGGATTCAGTTTAAATGGAAACCCCACATAGCAGGCAACTACTACTCGCTTCTCAATTCCAGATCAAACTCTACCCCATCAACAGAAGCCATCCCTATGTCTCAGCGCCCGTCAACGCCAGGAAGCTCAGCTCGTCAATCTCCGATTGCCACCAAGAAAGAAAAGCACGATCTGCCCCCCTCTTATAACACCATACCTAACAGCCTATCAATAGGCGACTTCTCTCCCCACCACAGTGGACATGGTACGTTGAGAAGGGAGAAACCACCCCCTCCCCAAAGGACGTCCAGCAATCCTCAGGGAGGTACGATCAAGAAGAGGGTCCAGATTCAGGAGATATCTGTATAGCATAGAGACGCAGGGGGTGCTGGTGCATCCCCTAGAGGAGTTAGAGCTTCACCCAATGGTAGGTTACAAGTATTATACAAAAAACCAGGGCTAGTCGCAGTTGCCCATGTTTACAGTGGAACACAATACGATATATTTTATTTAGTTAGTAATTCGTCCTACATAGGGTGTCGTCAAGGTTGGAACTTTCCTTTACACGACGTATAGGTCTTCCTGGTAGCATACACACCAAAGTCTTAAGATAACCGAGATATTAGGGTCCACAAAATCAATCAAACCTAATCTGTATTTCGATCAGATCAAACGTGAGAAGACACGACGTACGTTAGTACCCAACCCGGGCGCCTGCAGCATAGGTAAATAAAGCATTTATTTGCCAAACGGTACAAGAAACGAGTACCTTCAAAATGCTTCCGAGGCTTCGCGAGTGAATGCAGATCGCTTTCCCAGACGTTATCATCGGGGGCCGCATAGATTTGTTTACTTTGTTCAAAGTACTAGAGAAACATGTCGTATTGCAGGAATGTGAAGGTTGGCATAGTGAAGGACCTAGACAACCCTGAATGGTGCAAACTGAGGAAGGAGTATTGATTCTTGCAGAAAGCAAACAAGCACTAGAGAATTTCTTTTGAAATCATTTCCGAAATGTGATTCTTTAAAATCTTTAGGTATAATTTCATACAATTTTGGCGCTAAATAGACATATGACCGCTGCATTATTCACGGTGTCCGCAAAGTTGGGGTTTTCCTTTTCAGACGCTTGATATAACAAAGCTAATGTGTGGTGAAACGTGAGCGAACAAGTAAAAAAAATAAATGACAAAGTACTCACTGTTCAGTTGAATTGAAATTCCAAGTACGGCTCTGTCGTAAATTCCGTATTTACATCGTAGTCGTACGGTACGTCGTATACCAACTGTACGCTGGCGCTGTGGACGTGATTGAGGGATAGGACAGGACCGGCTTCGGTTTGGAGCAGGTTTGCGGAGCCCGATATCTCGGTTCTCTTAAAATATTGGTGTATATGCTACTAAGAAAATCCGCTTATTTTCTCAAGATTAAGATCGTGAAAAGGAACATCCCAACTTTGATTTATGTCACTGACGTACTTCTGTGCCTCAAATTTTGTATAATGATTATGTTTAATATGTTTATCGCAAACATTCTCTTTGAATATTTTGGCTAGCGTGGTATGCTGATTGGTCCTTTTATTTTCTCAAATCCGCTGGACGGTTCACAATACCTAGTCTGTCTATGAAACGTTTTACATACCGCACTCGTATTAAGTTGAATATTCGTACTGACTGTAAGCGCCATCTATCGAGGAATGACACAAATTACAGATAACAAGCTATGAGTGGGCTCTGCCAGTGCCATCTCTGAAGCAGATGTTACATCACATCAGAGCAACAGCACATATTTCAAAGTATCTTGACGGTTAGGCAACACACTCAGCTACTATGGTGAACATGAAATAAATGACTGCTAGTTTAGAAGTGACAAGTTTGGTGATTATATCACTATTGCTGTCGTTTTGAAGTGGCTGTATACCATATCGTATCTACCAAACGATTTTTTTAAGAAAGACTCCAGCTTTAATCGATTCTTTAATTCTCGTTCCAGATCAGAGGTCGTTCAACACACTTCCCAAAAGCTCGGCGACGTCTCCCAGAAAATCTCCGAAGCCGGACCTGACTCCAGAATTTGAATGCATGGAACAATGTGATTTAGTGTCCGTGCAGTTATGACAGTTCGATCCGAAATTCGTGATTGTGGCAGACGATGACGTCATGGTTGTACATAAATTTTAGCTATAACTGTATCAATCTACAATATGTGGAGATTGAAGTATGCTCACTCTATCACCTAAAATGGATTAATTATTACGCGATCCCTATAGATACAGGGCGTTTCAGAAAGGTCCGCAGTATTTATTTTTTGAGCGGGTCAAGTTAGCGAACTGAAATTCGGAATGATGAACGTGACTTAGACGAGAAATTCGAGATGTCAACTGGGCACCGTCATGTAAAATTTTTGTAAACGATAAGGGGGTCTTGTGATACCTACCTTGTTAAAGAATGGAGGCCTGACAGGCTGTAAAAGTTGAGTATCTCTGTATATTGAATCGCTTATAACCCGACAACTTATGTGGAATGAAATATGTGATATTTAATTTAAAAAAAAATGGCAGATCTTGACAGTTTTTTGAAATGTTTCATTTTTGATTATAATATCCTGATAGACCCTATCAAAATAAGAAAACTAATAATAATAATAATTTCAATAATAATATGTATTCACTCATTGTACAAAAAACAACATGAGTAAATAAATATAAAATAAAAAAAGGTCCGATAGGGGGCATTGCCTGTGCATGGACCACCAATTTCAAGCTGTAACTTATAACATATTATAGAAAAAGGATTATGCATTTACTTGATGTTCGTATTTATGAGTTTATGAATGTCGGTCCTAGATATATGTAGCCATTTTTCCAAATTTCTTTTGAAATAATTTCCGAAATGTCAATCTTTTAAATCTTTAGGTATAATTTCATACAATTTTGGCGCTAAATAGAGATATGACCCCTGCATTATAGATTTATGTGGCTGAGAAACTACCGTGCCACGAATTTTGTACCTTGTATAATGATTATTTTTAGTTTTTCGATCGGTGCAGACAAATTTATGGTAGTGAGCGAAAATGTGTAAGAATTAAAGCTTTCTTATGTCATACATTTGCACATATACGTATAATTCATTAGTGGAAAGTTTCAGTTTCAACATCATTTTAGAATACTTTTTCTGAAAAATGTCTAAATTATAGATACTTACGCGATGAACATGCAGCTCCCCATGGTAATATACCAAATACGAGATGAGGCTTAATCAGTGTATGGCATAATGTACGAATATACCTTTCTATAACATACTGTGACCAATAGCACCATCTGTTGGGCGAGTCTCCTACTCGCCAGAGCTTAATTGCCGATCTCTGCTTTTACACGACCGCACAAGCCGCCTGGCGGCGTCTGTGAGGACCGTGACAGTGGAACGCCTTCTAGATCGACGCGAAGTGATCTCCAACATTCTAGATGTCGCTTTGTGATCTTTCTCGAAGCGGTAATTGGGACTATATATAACTCAGCAGCCGGGAGATGGGGGATAGTACTGCATACGGTAGAGTAGCAGAGTGGAGTGAAGTATAGTGCAGTCAATGGTGACATAAGAATTAGTCAGACATAAATAGTGGCGCATATAAATGTTTTATCAAATTAAATAAATTAGTGCATTTCTTTTCGTGGAATCCAGTATTTTAATCCACACCCAAAAGAACCCAGAAAAACGCTGCAATACCTATCCGTTTTGATCATTAGTTGGTGAGTTATAAAAGACTCAATGCACAAAAACGCGCAACTTTGACAGCCTATCAGTACGAGATTTTCAAGGATTGTGATTTCACATGACCCCCACTCCATTAAATAAAAGTTCCAAAATGGCGTCTTGTCAGCATCTTGTAATTTTCAAGTACGCTGAAATATAGTACTCATTCAATAATTCCACTACCCTGAATTCTCTAGCTTGTTAACTTGATACGTTCGAAAAAGAAGTAGATGAGAGGACCTTTTGAAAAGCACTGTAGAGATATTGAGTTCATATGATAACAAATATGAGGCACATAGAATAATAATGGTATAAATCCACTCTTTTGAAAATTCGCGCCATTCACATAAAAGGTATCAATCTACCTAGATCTATCAGTATGAAGCTCGTCTAACTCCTTGTTTCAGTCTCCGGTCAATAGATGGCGTCATCATATTCTTATTATGATTTATATATGCCGTAAGGTCTGGAAACGTTATGCAATATTTTTTAACTGTGGATTGCGAGAACAGTGTTAAGGGACTGTCAACCGACGATCTGACCGGATTCTGTCGACATTTTCATCGGTTCTTGAAGACCGCTTCGTGGTTTATCTTCCTCTCTCCCTTCTGAAAATGCCTTAAACCACCGAAAACCTGGGCTCTTGAAGAAACACTACCTCCGTAGGCCTGCTTAGCAAGAGTTTCCTTTGCACTGTGCCCACATTTTTTGCACACAGACGAAACTCACAAAAAAAACGCTACGGACAACCAAATGACTCGAGCTAGTTCAACCTTATAGGGAAGGCGGATCGCGTAATCCCCAGTCTCCCTTCCAAGCCCGACACATCCAGTGTTGTCAGACCAAACGCTGCGTTGCCAGTCTCTTCACTTAATTTGTAGACCTCGTATGCCGGGCAAAACAAATACGTGTTTAGCATGAGACAATTTAGCCGTCGATACCGGCAACAAAAGAAAATTAGTAGAGATGTTTTTGACTTGATTAACCAAAATTCAGGAGCAAATCTAGCCATGTGAGCTAAATGAATCAACTATGAGTTCAAGCGATAAGATCACAACAAAGGTCTGTATTATAGCTTGTCGTCACACCCCAACAGTAGTCCTGACAGAAAATACGATTTTGTTATCTACCATTCAAGTTATGAATTGAATTTTCTACGACAAAAGTGTTGGACATGATTTGCTCGACATGTCATGAATCATTATATTCTATCGAAATTCAGTCTTGCTAGGTGATTCTCAATTTTTGCTACTTTCATGACATCTGGACATCAGTAACTCTCTATTATCTATTACGAGCAAGATACTATAGTCAAAATCACGAAAGATGACTATTACGTCATACCATAAATTGTACTGAAGTATCAATGGACGTACGTCGATCATAAAATCACGGTGTCAGGAATATAATGACAACAAACTTATATTATGATTCGCGAAGTTAGGTTATTTTACAGATTATTTTTATTTTCACTTTATTTCATGGTTTTGAGTGATACCTTAATAATACATAATTTTATTAGGGAGTTTTTGTTTTGAAAAAAAAAACAGTTATGAGTATAATACCTCAAGACAGGAACACCAAAGACCAAAGTATTATTCGAAAACAACCTGACCTGCTTTAACATAACCTAACTATTCATCTTTCAAATATCATCGATCATGCAACATGAAAACATCGTCTATCTTGGTCGGATACATGCAAATTAGCAATACATTGTTTAGACAATAAAATTACGTTTGTCTCTGTCTAGCATATCTGAAACTTCAAAAATATTCAGCAGATGTAGAGCTGTACAGTTTTAGGGGTGGTGGCTCAAATATCCATCACTTCAGACATCGGTTGTTAGAAATATGAGATACATGAAAATTAAAAACTGTCCCTAAGCAATTAAAAAAGGTTGTAAATCATAGACGTAAGAAATATGTGTATTTGTACATATGGACAATATTAACTATGATAACGAACAGAAGCATCTATGTTAAGATCGGTGTATCTAAATGTACGCAAAAATTGGGGTCAGTCATACTTATTATTCATGGATGGTTAAAGATTTTGATAGGCTGGAGGGTTACAAAATCAGATTCAGACATAAAAAGCGAGATGCATCACAAGCTGAAATCTTCTGCAAGTAGGGGCGTATTTACATGCCCGGAGTAGCAGGCTGTGAGGAGCTGCTCTAGCCGCCTCAACCAACAAATTTTTTACGATCATTTATGGGGCGCAGAGCGTAGAATCTTAAAATACACCACTATTCGCAGGATGTCGGAGGAAGTAACATAACTGTATGTAATTCGAAAATGCGGTAGAGCTATGTGATTAAAAGTAAAGCGTGTAGGAATTCTTCATCTCAATTGGGCTAGATCAGATCTGAAGTTGTTGCTGTAGTGTAACATCATAGACATATTCACTGTTTTGAACTGAAAGACAGATTGTATATTTTTACTAATGCATTATGACTGAGATATTAAGACTATGCTGAAATTAATTGTTGATAAATAGTTTAAAATTTGGGTGCAATACAAGAATAATAATTGAGGATTTATTAGTAAGTCAAATACCCCATCATATTTCCTTAACATTGGAATGCTGATTATAATAATCGTGTGTCTAGAACATATATCAAATATCTAATTGCATCAACGAGACTGCAAAGAAACATGATAAAAATGACAAAAATGTGTTTTTGGTCAAACAGTTTTTCCTCACAATCCTTTAGTATTTCAATAAAACTAGTTTCAGCATCCTAAATGCTACTTCAGTTGACTAGTCCAACTGAAAAACCTTTATGGGTGTACTGTTAATATCTTTAACACCTTTGAGAATTGAAATTGAAAGATCTTCTTGTCCTTGTAAACCTAAGTATTTAGAGAAATTAGTGTCATTTTTCTACACATTTATAAAATTACACAGATACCATCTATCTTTTGAGTTTATAGGCAATTTGTGGTAGAAAAGGATATTGATCAGATACCAAAAGATCGCTTTTGTTGAAACTTGTTACTTGTTTGAGATACCTATATTAGTTGTTTATTGTATAATCACAGTTTTTTTATCCATATCTTTGATAACAGATGTATAAAGTGTTTGTAAATAATTAATAATAAAACTTTATGATCTCACTGACTTTTTATTATTGATGCATAATGCATGTTGATGAGGTAACACTATAATGCAATGGCGAATTTTTTTTTTAATGTTACACATGTACAACACAAAAATCAATTACACTCTCCTCCGTCAGCTTGTTTGTCTATAACCTGTCCAGCAATCCTTGACTCCTCTATGTCACTGCTCAAAATTTTACGAAATTTTGCACTAGTCAATGATGGAAATGCTTTGTGGAATTTGAAAATAGGTTCGGTGATCGAGTTATGAAGGAAACATAACAAGTTCAGAATGCTTCTTTGAATTTCTGATTTTTTGAGGTATTCAAAACAATTTTTTGGGGATGATAAAATTTATAGAAACTAGGAAATTTCATATGCCATTTGACTATACACATAGTGGTAGTAGTAAGATGTTGAATAGATTTAGATCAATATACAAATATATTAATTTTGAATGTAGCAATTTGTAAAAATTATCAATAATGTTAAAATATTCTACATGCTTTGCAGCTTTATTTTTGTTTCATTTATTAAGTAAATACAACAATTAATAATTAATAATAAAATAAGCAATGGAGAAACACAAAAAAATGAATGACACATAAGCAACTATTCTTCATATTTTTCAGCAAGCATGTTGGACACATCTTCTAGAAAGTCATAAAATATATTTTTAAATCTCTTGTGTGTTTGTTCCTGCTTTTCTTTTACAATATTCTTCTGTTCATTATAAATTCTAATGCTTTCAGCTATTTTATGAATTTTTTCAAAATCTCTATTGGAAATAACAATCTTATCCGTTACAATCCTTAAATTTTCTAATACTTTCATTAGTTTATCATATTCCTCTTGATTGTTGATGACCTTAACATTTTCTAGTTTCACATTCTCTGACTCATCCTTTAAATATTTCCAAAATGTCTCAAAGTAAAGTTTGTATCCATTAATGATAGTCTTACATTCTGTAGCATATTTCTCTAAGGATGTCAAAATTTCACCAACATTGTTTTGTATTTCGAGCAATTCTATTTCCTTGTTTAATGAATGTACCTGCTGGTTCTTTTTTCTCAAGTCTTGATTTCTGTAGAGAAGCTGCCTGTTCAAAACTGTTTGGTGCTTGTCTATAGTTTCCTTCACAATTAATTTTTTCATATGTGCTACTAGGTACTCGTTGTACTCTCTACTACCGTCACTTTTTGCACATTGGAGTATCGCCTAAAATAAAGAATTGGCATAGAAACAAGTCTTCTATTTCATAATTTGCACTTACAACATTTGAAGGTGCTAAAAGTGAGGGACCTCCAACTGATGCAGTTGTGCAGTTCAGTACACGTCTATTAGTATTTCTATCAGTTTTGTGTCTTGGTGTTCTGTTATCCATATTTACCCTCTACAGAAAATTTTGCGCCGTTAGAAGCACGTGTGAGCAGGTTTCACAGGTGGGTTCATGCACGATTTAACCTAACTTAACTTGAGAAAATGAGCATTTCATGCGCATGCGCGGCCAGGATTGCCAACGTAGCAGTTGAGGCAACATGAAAGTTAAATACCCTTAAATAATCATATGTTTAACGTCAAAGTAGCAGATGAAAGAGTGTTTTGTGGCTTATGTGTCACGTGGACTGGCGGACCAGCCTTGACGTTGACAAGTGGCCCCTCCCCTCACGCTTGCGCCAATGCAGGTCACAGAACTCGGATAATAGTCCAGATAATATTGGAACATCTGCTCGGAAAACTCTTCCGATTCCTATTTTTGCATAATCTGATTCAAGGACCTCTTAAAGAATCTGCATGTGACTAGGCCCAAAATTGCTCCAAAAATTGTTATTAAACCGATTCCAAAAATTGATTTGTTCGCTTTGTTTAAAGTATTTTGCGGTTTTTAGGACATTCTAAATAAAAAATGAGCTTTAGAACTTTTCTCTAGACTTGATATATACAGGTATAAGCAATGTAAAAACTCAAAATATGTCATTTGCTACCCTAAAAACAATATGAAAAATGAATATTTTGTTGTCGCCAAATCTCACACATGCTTCAACCAACCAATAACAAAACCCCCAGAGCATTTGAATGCGCGCTCAATGTATAGTCTATGTCTATGTGAACGCGAGAGAGTTGAAATATCTCTCGTGCACGCTGAATATGCATTGAGCGTCCGCTTGCATATAAATTAAATACAAAGATTTATAATAACAGTATCTCCTAAAAGGTATCGTTAATGGTTATTTATGAAGCATGGCGACATTAACATTTTCGTTTTTTCAGATCGTTTTTCGGTATCGCAAAATCAATTTTTTGTACTTTCCCATCTCGTACAAAATCAACTTTTGACAAACATTGTCAAACATCATTTTGTTTCGGAGTATCAAAAAAAACGAATGCTACCTTTGATGAAGCGAAAACATTAATTTTTGTAATTTATTTGAAAAAGTTGTTCAAACAATTAGAGACGCAATTTGGAGCCTGACAACATGTAGATTTGTTACTAGGAGGCTTTTTCGAATAACATGCAAAAAGTTCGAATCCGAATATTTTCCTGAGCAGATGTGAAGATATTTCTTGGACTACAACCTCGACGGCAGCGCCACTTTTCTTGGCTGGAAATCTGGTGGAACTATAAATATTGAAAGTATGCGGACAACGCATATCAGGAATGTCAGGAATGTGTCGGCGATTTCATTTGTTTACATTACGAAATCTGATTGACGACAGATATTGAGGCAGTTCGAAGATCGTAGATGCATAACACATCCTCAATAAAGGAGTATTTCTTTCATCAGTTTGACTAGTAATGAATTTCAGGATAATAAAAAAATGTATAATTAAAAAAATATTTACTGAACAGTCACAGCAATAATAGAACAAATTCTTCATTACAATAAATTGTACATACATAGAGATATTCTACTCATCTGGATTTTTCTCTATATTATGAACCTGATCAGTGCAATATCATGCAAGCACTATCTCTTGTTAATTGATCAGCTATATTTATTGCAAAAACAGAAATACTAAAATAACAAAAAATACATCTGTAGGTAGAGGACTGACTGGAATACAAATATAATCACTCTGATATGTGAATCAAAAATAGTTTTGCGCACACTGTTTAATGAGTAAAGGCAAACAAAATTGTCCTCAACAAAAAAAATAACACATAAAACAGTAATTGTTTCTTCAAACTAGGAAACAAACTCTCATTGACAAATAATTTGGTATCCATAAAATAAATGACGATCTTCATTCCAAATGTCTCCTCGAAGGATTTTGACACTGTGAAACAAAAAAAAAATTATTAGCATAATATCACTGTCATATTTGGTCAGCAAACACTAAACAGAAACATAGTCATCTCACCACTCCCCTTCAGATGATACTGCTCTGTACATATGTATAAATTCCCAATCTAGCAGTATATATTTGATTGCCAAAATTCTGTGTTTAAAAAAAAAATTTTCATTTGTGATACCAAACGCCAGTCCTTAATTTGGCCCTTTACCAGGTTTGTTATTACCAACAGTACAGATGTCACAAAAAAAGTTTGTGCTACTCAATCTGTTTACCTCAATAAACGTCAAAAGAGATTACATATTTGGTGGGCTGCAAATACACAGCATTCGTCAGGTGTACACCTGGTTTGTAGTTAATGACAAAGTACCTTCACAGTGTTCTGTGAGGTTTTGGAAAAACATGTCATGGGGGGCATGGTATAGATTTAAATTCTCTTTTTTCTTCTGTAGGGGCTATAATTTGCCAACATCACCACTGGTACAGTCTCAGACATGAAAGTGTTTGCATCTATCAGCTATGAAGTCAGTACTACAAGCACAAAATTTTAAGATCATTTCCATTTTTTTTTTTCGTTCTCTAGAATATAATTTCAAAATCCTCTATCTTGGTATTTTTTTCATGCTGTTTTTTGATCTAATTTATGAAGGAAACATGACCACTGACTTTAATTATTATAATTTTTAACATACATGATTTTTTTTATCAATCCGCCCCGATGTTCAGCTCTAAACTGTCATGCGTAAGCAAGCGCAAATAATTTTTCATACAAGTATCACCGAACCATCTGCCCATACAGCGATATAAAATCGATCAAACATCACGATATAAATATCGACTGTCGACTTTTGTACAGTATCGATGGCTCGTAGCCGTCTTGTAATTCCAGCTGTAGCGATCAGCTGACCAACGCTAGTGATCCGATTGGTTGGTTCTTAAGGAAAAGTTCAATATATTGAACTTTAATTTAAGAAGTGACCTTGAAATTAAGAAAACGACCATAACCTCAATATATTTTGTCATTTATGCAAAAATGAACTGATTTGGATACTTACTGCAACGTCATCATTAGGCGCTCCTCTGGCGATGTCCGATTGCGTTCAGGTGACTTCTGCAGGTACCTCTTCAACAAGGTCAGGAGTTGATACCACCGCGGCTTTTCGTTATTTTGCTCTAGGCATGGCCATCCTCAATTAATCGCACAAAAAACAAGTCAAAGGCAGAAAAACACACCCGAAGACGAACACCAAAACAAATCTCTACCACAAATTCGTCAACAACTCAAACAAAAACAACAGATGAGTCACTGCCTGGCTTTCTGGGTAAATCGTCGTGGAACACGGGACACCACAGAATTATTATAATTACGTCAATACGAGCATAGAACAGTATGGAAAGGGCTATCCAAGGGTAAGACGAGTTCCGAAACCACCCGAATCATGTCAAAAAATGGGTGTGACGTCACCAAAACGTTTGACCACCACTGGTAGTCACTAGCTAGTTACTATCTGGAGGCGTAACATGTGGAGGACACTGGTGTAGAAACAGCTGATCCTTAAGTTCGGTTAGTTTAAGTCGTGCATGAACCCGACATATACATATATCGTCGGTGGCTCTGATAATTTTTATATCTGAAATCTGATCCATACTGATGTTCTATGTTCAAATTATTATGGCAGTGTCAAAATTATCATAGTTAATCAACTATACCGTCACAACGCGCTTTTGAAATCAATTTCAATAGTAGTAAATCATTTAAAATCAGGTGAAACTATTTCAGGGGTTATAACGTTAAAGGAGAATTAAAATTTAAATCACACATCTGAACAGTGTTGCCAGAAGGAGTCGACGATATTTCGGTAGAATTGTAAGGAATTTTTCGGTAGATTGAATACCGAAGAGTACCTAAAGGCTTAAAACAGTTTTATTTAACTCAAAAGAACAGAAAGACAAAACAGAAATAAAAAGTGTATAAAATAGAAAATGTGTAAGCTATATTGGATAATCATTCTACCGATTCATTTTTGTATAAGTTTTTATCAGTCATATTATCTACTACTTTTGCCATTCCTGCTTTTGCCAAATGGTCCATCAGCAGGAATGGCAAATTATGCTCGGCCAAAAATGCGCTCAAACGAATTTCTTCTGGAAATAATAAAATAATCTATATAATCTCAAATCTTCTCAAATAGATTAATTAATTTTACCTTCTTCAATATCATTTTCTAATTTCTTTGATGCAACTGCAAATGACAACAGTTTTGGCTGTTCTGCTATGGTTTGCACTTTTTTATGAACTTCTTCAGCCTTTTTTGGTTTGTTGACAAACATTGCTACGCCTCAAAGTATCCCTCCATGTTTTATTGAAAGCTCCTTTTTTATATAACATTCTAGCAAAATTGTTCGATGAACTGGCAACGCAGCAATCTAGCTGACAAGAATGAGAATAATCAAATCCAAGCGAATAACCAAAATTTCTGTGTTATGTGCCGCGGTTATAATATGGTTCAAGATGACACACGGGTTGATGACGTCAGTTACACGAATCGCTTGAACGCGTTGGTTTTAACCGCGGTTTTGTTGCAAGTTGTTTATTTTAGAAAAGCGCGTATATAATCTCTGATTATTTTTATTATCACTCAATAATCGGTGCTATTTCGTCTACAACTGTGTATGGAAAGTTTAAATAAGAAACCTTTCATATATTCATGGGAGAAATGTTTCTTTTCAAGATTTTTTTTTAATGATGGAACCATGGCTTTGTAGCTATGATAACTTTCAATTCTCTAAAGTTTTCCGCATGTCAAAGAAAACATTTATTGATTCAGCAGAAATGATGAAAAAAGAAATTAGCAAAACCGTATACAGGTGGACATCATCTAGTGAGTTTATATGGCCATATTTTAATATTCTTGTGGTATATGGCTACTTTGTTACGCTTAGGAACTACATTTAAAGTGTCAACAACAGTAATGAGTATAACTAATAAGGTGCTCCACTTTATGGTAAAACTGAAGTCAGCCTGTATCAAGTTTCCCAAAAATGAAGCTGAAGTGCAATAACAATGTCCAATACCCGGCAAAATTCTAACTTGTCACATTTCAAATAATAACCAGAAATATAAAACTACTCCCGAGTTGGGTAAATACCACAATTTTGCAGTGATAACTATGACATATAACAGCTGATTCATGACGTCACGGATCTTATAACCAAGCTGATAACCACACTCGCTTGAACGGATCGGTAAATACCAACCTAAAATGGTAAATACCATTTTCATTTGGTTATCCGCTTGAAATTGATTAAGGTTAACTGCAAAAACGTATTTCTATCCCAGGGTAGCGACGGAGTCAGATAGTACGCCAAAGCGCCAGTTTTCGATTTTTTTAAGGGGTGTGCAACGATTTTGAGAAAAATTTCTCTACGGATAGCCTTCTAGAGTCTAGTAGAGTATATTTCAATACTTGTCTTGCGTGACCATGTTATCTTTACTCGGGCCGGTAGGTTTTTACT